GAAGTGGGAAACAGCTGCAGGTAAAACAGCAGCAGAAGTAGAGTAGATGAGAATTAAAATTTTGGACAGGTCCTCAAGAATGTTGTTTTTTCCCCCCTCTCTGTCCCCGCGTCTCCTTCAGGACTTCTGGTCAGACCTCGGCGAACGCTCACTCCTCTCGGAGCCACGCTGTGTTCCAGATCATTCTGCGTCGGCGGGGGAAGATGCACGGAAAGTTCTCCCTTATCGACCTGGCGGGAATGAGAGAGGGGCAGACACATCCAGCGCTGACCGTCAGACTCGCCTCGAAGGAGCTGAGATCAACAAGAGCCTGCTGGCACTAAAGGTCTCCTCCTTAGTAATTAAGATATCCTGTGCATCAGTGACCTTACTGCAATGGTTGAGCAGTTTTTGAACTGTGCCTGGATCTGTGGATGCTTGCAGAGTCGCACTGAATACATTCACAGTACAGTCAGGAAGAGTGTTTGTGTTGTGGAGGTTATTCAGTCCTAAAACACTTGTGTCAAATTGGTTATGACACGTTTTGGAAAAAAACTTAAATGATGGACCATCCTTGCTCCACACTCTGGATATGAAATGAGACTACATGCACAGATTGTAATGTTCTGCTGCTAGGGTTTGCTCACATCAAAACATTAACATAAGACTTTGATTACGTTGTGAAGTAGTGTGGGATTATGGGAGTTGTCTTCATCACCATTTCCTTCACTGCAGTCAGCTTCTCCTGAGCCGAATTATCTGCAGGGTCTCCTCCTCCCTAAAATAAATGCCAGTAGAGTAAAACTGGTAGAAACACTGTGTAAAGCACTTTCAGGTTAAGAATAGTGTTTCTCTGATGCTGTTCGGCAGACACAGGACGTCCCAGAGAGGCTGCGTGCCGAGCTTGCTGCTAACATTTGCTCAGATTGTTTCTCTGATAACTTATGCAAACATGAGGATTTAATATAGATGAATTAAAGTTATTTAAGTTATTTAGTTATTTATCTGTACTTTTAGTTTTTTACAAAGTTGAAGTTTATTGTTCAAAATTGACAAAATTTTGTTGAAAACTTAGTCAATTTTATTTCAGTGGGATTTCAGTGACTATATTTTCAACATTCAACAGGATTTTTTGGTCATATTTCATGGCAAAATCTGGTAAAATCCTTTTTATACATTACAGTGTTATAGCGCAGGTTTATAAGTGACACGCCACCACAGTTATGGTGGCCTGTTTACTTCCATCGTCAACCTGTATTCGTAAATACGGGACCAGTGGAATGATCTATATCAGTCACACCTGTGATGGTATTTAATTGAATATGATATAAAACAGAAAAGCACTTCGGAAGCTCAAACTAGAGAAACTTTTACATTGTTCTTGATAAATACACAGTTAAGCACATCTGTTGTCGACCATTCCTTTTCCAATATTATACTGTGTTGTGCTTTTAGAAATTGTTACTCTACACAGCCGCTGATGATGTTCCCGTCTTTCTGCAGGAGTGCATTCGAGCTCTGGGCCGAAACAAACCTCACACTCCCTTTAGAGCCAGCAAGTTAACCCAAGTGCTGAGGGACTCCTTCATAGGAGAAAACTCAAGGACATGCATGGTAAAATAAAAGCAGAGCTATGTTATTACTGGACCTCCTGTGGACAGACGCATGATGAAAAAATACGATGACAGATTTCTTGATAAATATGGATCTAACTCGGTTTTTGTTTCCCTGCACAGATTGCAACCATCTCTCCTGGAATGGCATCTTGTGAAAACACCTTAAACACGCTGCGATATGCCAACAGGTAAATCTGATGTTCTGAACTGGGACACAAAAGACACAAGAATTAACAATTTAAAATTTCAAAAGGTGTTTTAATGTCTTGTGAATAAAGGACACAATATAATTACATTAAATTAAATATTTTAGTTATCCAGCGTCAGAGGCTGTGTGTAATTAGAAATGGTTTCTCTGGTTAAAGAGCTCAGCTGGTGTTTCTATTCAACACGACTTGGTTGTTTCCGAGTGAAAAGACACATCAGTCTGTAACACCACTATATGACCAAGAGTGGTCGTTTTGTTTTGGTAGTTCAGAGAAACAATCAGCTGATCACCTCACATCAATTTGAAAACCTCCCAGTTAAACTTCATATCAGAAAGTCCCTAATTGCCACTTTATAAAAGGTAATGTCTGTCTGCTGTGTTGTGCAGAAGTAGCGTACAGTGGCTTTATCAGAGGTTTTATCAGAAGATGCTGGAAAAGAGTTTGAGGAGAGCAGTGAAAGTTAACTAAAAGATGTGAGCCGTAACAACGAGCTAAAACAGACTAAAAGACGGGAGCTGAGGGAAAGTGCAGAGTTTAATGATAATTCTCTGTGGGTTTGTCACTTCAGGAGTCATTTGACCTGTTGTTTATATAAAAAAACGTTGATTAGTGCAGTTGTTTCTCTAGAATAGCACCAGTTACTATTTTATATCTTAAATAAGTAATAAGTTAGTCTTGGTTACCTTTGTGTCCCTGTTTATCTTCCTTCTCCTCACATGCTCACGCTGACTGAATTACATTAATGTGAGAATGGTTGCACAACATAACATGATCCTCTCCCGTCTCTTCTTCTTCTGTGGTTATGTGTTTTTCTTTCTCTCTCCTACCATACTTCCAGAGTAAAGGAGTTTGGGATAAGTCCCTCAGACATTCCCTTCTCCCAGAGCGGAGGCGGAGGGAGTCGCTCTGAGCTCTCCCCTACTTACGAGTACGATCACTTTATACTACGTCTCTCATCGCTTCTCTCCACAGCTCCCCTCACAGCAAGTCACCGAGCATATGACATTATCCACATTACTCACTAATAACCACTTTTTGTTGCTTCCTGTCCAGTCAGAAGTTACCCCAAGTCACTTAGAGCCATGGAAAGTATATTTCAGTTCACGGCTAATATTCTATATTTTCTCATTTAAAAAAATCCCATGAAAAGACTAAAACCATTGATGAACGGTGAAGTATTGTCTGTGTATCAAAGCCTGATATATCTTCTCCCTCTGAGCCTTACAGCTCCATTGTTGTCCAGAAACTATTAAAACCCGTCAGTGAGTCTCACTGCTGCACTGGGTGACATGTTCCTTCCTCACCATGAACACACTGTAGTTTATTCTGACTCAGTCCCACACGCAGATTCATCCACCGCTGAAAGTAGTCCCCAACAAATGCTCTATTTCCTCCTGAATGAGTAACATTTGATAAAAAGCTCTGTGAACAGCATTTTGTTTTTAAAATCTTTGAGCCTTTTTTAACAGTGAAACTATTTAATTTGTACACATCAGCTTGGGTCTACAGTGCCACAGACAGGGTGGTGGAATGAGAAACTATTAAGAGATGAATGAACACATTGTTGGTTTTGTTCTTTTGTTGGGATTTGTTGAAAATAACAAAAAAAGAAAGTCCCCCTCCAGACAAACGTGTTGTTCTTGCTACCTCACTTGGATGTTTTACCTTCACTGTGTAGAATGATAGAAGGTAGGTTTATTTGTCACATTACAACAGGTTGTAAAGTGAAATTAAATTTGTATCTCCTTTCTGCTACGTAGCAGATGCAGAAATACAAAAGCAATCATAAAATGCTAAACAGAAAAAAAAAAACTATATTCATTGGAGCAGGGCTGAGGATGAATTAGAGTTTAAAAGACGGATAGTTTAGGGGTGGAGCTGCTCTGCAGTCTGGTGGTGCGGCAGCAGAAACTTCTATACGTCTTCCCAGAAGGCAGCAGGGTGAACAGGCTTTAGTATCCTTTGGGCTCTCACCGATATCACCGAAGCTCAGGAGATGGGTACCAATGATCTTCTGAGCAGTTTTAATCACCTGCTGCAGAGCCCTCCGGTCCAGACTCGTACCCATTCACACCCGGTATTAACATGCAATTAGTATCTGCATACGTTATCTGGACACAATCGGATCAGCCAGATCACATCTGGAGGCGGTCTGACTCGCACTGGGATCAGATCTCAGCCAGGTGTAAATGTGACCACATTCTTAAGAAAACTAACTCCACCTCTTACTGCTAGCTTAAGCAAGCCCGGCAACAAATACAAATTGTAGCAGTAAAGTTAGCGAGCAAGTCTTCCCTCACAAAAAGGGGATTTAGAAATGAGTGACTGCTGTTTAATTGCTTCCCTTGACCTGAAACCCGTCAGGTAGTCAGCCAGTAGATAAAGTTTGTATATTGATATCCGACCACAATGTAGGCAGAATCTAGATAACGAGAGCGCATTTTAAAACCATATGTAAATGTAAAGACCTCACATGTCATCACCCAGATTCAGATCACGTGTTAATACCAGGCGTTAATGTGGCTGTGTTCACAATTATCTGCTACAAAAGGAGGAAAATTTCTCTGTGCTCACCTTTAATCTGAGAATGGACTTTACAGCGAAGTAGGATACATCTAGTGTCCAACGGTTCAGCAACAAGAATCGCTTATTCATAAAGGACTAGATGTAATTTTACGTATTTATAACAGGTTAATTTAACAGTTGTTTGTAGAAAGGCCACATCAGACAAATTATTATTCCAAGTAGAGTATTTTTATTTGTCTGGAGGGGATCTTTCCAGATGACAGCTTACCTGAAGGCTAGTAAAATATATTCAGTAAATCTGAGGAAGGGTGTGTATCACCCATGATCATGCACTTAATCCATAAGTTAGTAGAAGGGATAACTTCTGCCTTTTTTTGTAGCTATTAATTGGTCATTTGTTAACCGTTTTCTCCACCATCCATTATTTTTTACGTTGACCTGCTTTAATTTTTTCCAGGCTTGACTTCATCTAAACCTGCACGGGGTCAGTCTGTAGTGTTTGTTGTTCCTCTGGCATGCTGAGCATTTTCACCATATTGCATGCAACAGTTAGCTACAAGGTGTTGCTCATCAGATACCTCATCAGCAGCAGTTATTTCACTAGCAGCACTGATGTGTTGTCAGGGTGAAGGAGCTCTCTGTGGACCCTGCAGCGGCGATCGACAGCCGTCAGGGAGGACACATCAACCAGCTGGAGGTGCTGGAGGCTCAGTGGGGAGTCGGGAGCTCTCCCCAGAGAGACGACCTGAAGCTGCTCTGTGAACAGAACGTAAGCTCTTACTCACTCAGGTGTATGTAGGCCTGGTTTAACACACTCACTGTGTCTCTGATGTATAAACAACATGATCGTGTTTTCCTGTAGGAGGAAGAGGTCTCCCCGCAGCTTTTCACTTTCCATGAAGCCGTCTCTCAACTTGTGGAGATGGAGGAGCAGGTACTGGAGGACCACAGGGCGGTTTTCCAGGTACAGTAGAGCCTTTATTTTAATAGTGGCAGGTCTTTGGGCTCACAGACAAGCAATCGTTCACGTAATGTGCAGCAGGCTGGCTGAAGCGGAATATAGATCAGATTAATACATTCAAATCACTGGTCTCGTAACTCTGAAACCGCTAAATCACAGCGTAGTAGGATGCCAACAACAGCTTAACAAATGAAGAGACTGCTCTCCAGGATGTTGTCTGCATTCACAATGTGGCACAAATCTGCAGCCAGAAGTACAATGTGTGTTTTTTAAATAGTTAATGCGTACAGAGAAACAGCAATAGTTTGTGGACACTGTTTTTTATATGATAGCATTAATACTTTATCTCCCACTGTAAATGGTCACATGATATTCTAACAGATCTTAACAGAGACACAGCAACATTTGCACTGTGGTGCGTTTCCAGTTTTAAAAACATGAAACGGCGTCGTTGCTAAAGACTTAAAAAGAAAGCCATTTTGCACACACAGCGTTGTCGAGCGCTGCAAATCTGTCTCCCACATGAAGAGCACTGAGTTAAAACCGTTTTTGCAGGCACTTCCTACACACGTCACAAATGGTGATGCAGATGAACAGTCTCATCCTCTTTCATGCTCATTTGAGAGTCAAAAGTGGGGTGTTTCTTTTGATTAGTTAAATGCATCAAAATCAACTTCAGAGGAAATTATGTCATATTGCAAATAACAGCTTACATGTTGCTAGTTTGGCATCAACATGGTTTCTTTTGCACTTGATTTAACTGAGCGACAGATTTGTCAACATATCTGCACAATATATACTTTATCTGGACAAAATAATCAGTTGTTCATCTGGTCATGATAAACCCAGAATATTAATTAATTAATGTTTTATTATTATTTATTTTATTACAAATTTCTTTGATTCATTCATTTGAGCAGCAGAAGTTTCTAACATATGATCTCATCACAATATACTTCCACTAGTAATGAATAAAAGATACTGATTAACTGATTAACAATCAGCCAGTCCTACTGTATAAAAATGTAATCATAGTAAAATAGTAAAATTTCATTATACGTGATGTTTAGTCATTAAATTGGTTTAAATTAATATGAATCCATTAATCAAAATGCGTATGAACCCTGACATACTAGATCAATGCAGACTGTTTTATCAGTGCTCCTGCTTTAACCACACTAAATGTTGATTCAAGTATTTATGTTTGTCCTTCATTGTGCCAGAAACAGGCATCTAAAGACTTTTTCCACCAAAATACAAACAACTCAATTTGCACTTTATAATTTGAATAAAACTCTACTACCATTAAAATGCCATGAACACACAGACAAAGCTAATTTCATGATCAAGAAAATATTAAACTGTCTGGTTGTACCGCACAAAAATAGAGCCCAAATAGTTATTACTGACATAATTTGAAATGTGACTCACAGACTAATTCCCTCAAGTAGTCCACAGAAATGTCTGCTCTCAGATGAAGGCGGTTGTTCATTCCCGTTCTCCTGTTCAGTCTCATGTCTTACATTATAAAGTTTAAACAGCAGCATGTCTTTACAGGAATCGATCCGCTGGCTGGAAGACGAGAAGGTGCTTTTGGAAATGACGGAGGAGGTGGACTACGACGTCGAGTCGTTTGCAACTCAACTAGAGCAAATCCTGGATCAGAAAATCGATATTCTCACCGAGCTGAGGGGTAAAGATCATTCATCCAGTCATTATATGCCTATTATAAAGTCGCTTTGAGACCTGAAGCCCTTTACGTTAATCTGATGCCAGTTTAACATGTCTAGGTCGGATCTAGTAACATTAACAGCTGCAGCAGCACAATGAACAGAGAGAAATTAGCTTCTGTAATTAATTTATTATCTTGGTTTTCATCTCTTGTACACAAAACAACTGTTTAATTAAAGTCGAAACACTGTAAAAGAGCCACTTTTAATTTGTGGAGATTCGTATTTTGTGAAACTATTTTTAACTTCACCGTGTGACCAGAGCTGACGAGGATATAAAAAAACGCAGTGGTAATCAGAGCAACAGTTTTCATTCATGCATGGATAACTAAATGAAGATCCGGGGAAAAAAACTATACAAGCAGAAATAAAGCAAGCAGCAGAATTCTCTCTAATCACGTTAAATAATCAAATATATCTGTGGAGAGCGAAAAGCAGGAATGTCCAAAAACAAAGGTCTTACGTTAAATCACGACGTACATGAAGCATTATTACTGACATATTTGCAAATGACAAGGTCATACAAAATGTAAACCATACTTACGTGTTTCAGTTTTTTTACCCATTTACTTAAGATTTCATTAAACTAAAGGTTTTTTTTCTACCTTATACAAAATAAACCAACACAAAGAGGAGGATCTTTTGTAGATAATAAATATGAAACTACAAAGAAATCAGGTTTGAATTTGAACATTGTTACTAAGCTTGTTTACTAAATACTTATTCAAAGATGATCCATTGAAGAAACCATCAAGTGCATCTTTGGGTGGTGGGAAAAACAACACTGATAGACTCTTCTATCCCATAAAGAATTAATGAACAGTTACTGAATGGTTTGGGTTACACTCATATTGCTCCAAAATTTAAATAGTTGACTGGACTGACTAAACAAATAAAATATGAAGAAAAAGTAAAAACATACAACTCTGATCTGTCTGGAGCGACGAGACTTCCTCAAATACAGAAATGTCATTTTTTCTATTCACAATTTGAAGATTGTCTGCCGCTCTTTTAACTACATCTTAGGTGCGTTCGAGATGACTGCGGCTGACTTTCGCCGACTTGATAGTCTAGTCATAGACTGTATATAAGAAGAGGACATAGTCAAATGTTGGTTTGTGGACTGCCGTTTTGAAGCCTCGAGTTTGGCAAATAGGGCACCGCCATGTTGAGTTTTTGCAACCAGCGGCATCGGACGTGACCATATTTGGATGAGACGGTGCATCTGTAATTCACATAAACTGTTATTTTAACAGATAATTTTGTCTAGCGAACAACAGCGCTGATTAAGTTCACACAGTGTCGTGGATACGAGTCACTCTTGCCTGACTGACAGACAGGTCGCCATGGTATCGACTTGTCAATCACAGATAAAATCCCTATTTTCCTGCCACCCGCTGTTTATCTCTGTGAACAAACTTCTATTATTCATAACATTGTGGTGTAAATGTTCTGTCTTGTCTGAATAAAGCTGTAAGGAACTTCAACGTAAAAGTCACCTCTGTGTAAATGACAAAACGCCATCACTTTAACAGACAGATGAAGCAGCGATGTTGAGTATTTAATGTCTGAAAAGGGTTTTAGAGATTCTAAACACACATATTTCTTTCTTGATAGTTTAGTCATTTTAACCTGTGCGGTTATATTCTCTCTTCTTTCAGATAAAGTCAAGTCTTTTCGTTCTGCACTCCAGGAAGAGGAGCAAGCTAGCCAACAGATAACCCCGAAGAGGCCTCGTGCACTATAGACACATAAAATATATGATATTTCACTGTAATATTGACTCGTGTTAAGAAAGATGAAGGCCTGCCGTTGAGGTCATTGTTGACGAACGAGCTGATTTAGCTCAGCTGTGATTTTATGACTTACTGTCTCTCTGTGCGTTCGGTCTCTCTTCAATCTCTTTGCTGTACAAGCTGCCATTGCTTCCCATCATCCATCCATCTGTAAAACCAAAGAGCAGACCGTCTTTGCTCTTCCATCCCTCTTTGAAGTGTATTTACAAGGTTTTGTATGTGTGATATGTCACAAGTGCTTCATGCTAAAAAACAAAAAAAAAAGGTGGATATTTATTTGTTTTAAATACATTTTTATAGGATCAATCATAGCTTATCCTCACTTTGGCAATTTTATAAAACAACTTTTGCCATTTTGTGCAATATTTGGAGGATTTTCTTCCTGTTTAACCCCCTCGTTTCAGCTCAGGGGTGAACGGGGCATGCCGAGTTTGTGTGTTAAATGAGCCAATGTGTGTTTGTGTTGATAATGTATGTAATATATGTTGACTGAGAGAAAGCTTAAAACACAAAACTAACCTTGCATTACATTCATTGGCCTAATGGGGGCACTATAATCAAAGACAAAGCAACTGAATTCAGAGTCCACAAAAGTATTGAAACAGTAATTTTTCATTTGCCAAAATAAAGAAAGGCTACTTCTTGCTGCTGTACTTGTTTTTATTTATTATAATAAGTCTTGAGCTGTATGTTTTAATCTCTTACCCGCAGACAGACTTTAATCATGACATTTTCATAAATTCAGATTTTGAATTAATTACATTTTTCTTTAACCATTTGACTTGAGTGCATAATGGTATACAGGAAAACGTGAAAAAAATAAAGTATAAGGCTTGTAATTCTTTATTTTTGTTATTATAAACCAATCCCACAAAAAAAGACAGAAACCAACAATGTGTTAGTCTGTGTTTCTACTTTCTGAATTCCCTACATTGTCTGTGGCTTTCAGCTTAAATTTGATCCGATGAAAATGTGCAGCTGGTCTCAAAAGTACAATTTTTAAAGGCAGTAATTTCATAGAACAGCTAGGCACTGTTGTTTTTCACAAACAGGTGACAAAATATTATCAAATGGGGGTCTGTGGTCTAATTATTGTCAATTTAGGAGTCCTTGTGGAAAAGTTTGAGAAGACTAGTTCTAGTGCATTGATTTATAAGCAGTGCTACCTGCAACGACTGGAGAAAAGCTCAAATAATAATAGAAATAAAGATTATAATGTGATAAACATATTATATTATATTAAACATTTGTTTTCAAGGGGGAAAGGGGCACAAACAGGACTATAAATTGGTGTGATTTTTATCTGTAACCAGTAGGTTTTACAATTAAGAGTGCATGAAAACTAGTTATCAAGGTCAAAATAGAAACTGGTAAATGTAAATGAAACACCTGTTGCCACTCACCTACTCTGGGGAGTCTGGACATACCTTCAGAAGCAGCAGGTGAGCGTTTTTAAAACAACTTTTTTTGGCGGTTTTCAAACATGGCCGACTGACAGCTTCATCCTTCACCCGGATTTAATGTTGTTAATGCTCCTATGTGAGGTTCAAACAGCTGGCGACGTTTTTTAATATGATGATGTTTAGCAGTAGAGGTATAAAGTTTACCGTCTTCAACATCTTAGTTTAGCATGTCTTAGCATTAGCATTAGCATTTAGCATTGTGAAACTGGCACAACAAACGGCCGCACACACAGCAGGTTCCCGCCGGAGGGGCTTTCCAAACTAAAATGGCGGCATTAACTCACCTGTGGAAGATAAGGTGCCACAAAGCTCCTTCATGACTGCCAAGCGGAGTCACGTGGTTGTTTTTGTTTTATTTACTTGCTGTGATGCTATAAAGAAGTATTCTGAATTTGTTTTTTTTGTTGTTGTTGTTGCCTCCTGGTGCTTTTGAGCCATCAGGTAATTAGTTATTGTGACGCCAGAGGTCTTACATTGAAACTAAAAAACAATCTTTTGTCAAGACCCTCATGAAACCATTACAGCATGTTTCTAAAACACAACTGAGACTCGTGGCAGTGCCTTTAGTTTAACATGTATTTGTCATAAACCAAAGTATTGGAAACTTTATTGGAAGTAGTGCTAGAATAAAAATGTGACAGGATCACTGAAGATTAGGTGAGACACCACAGTCCAACATTATGATTTTAATATATACATATTACCCATGGACTGTATATAAATATTACCATACATTCATAAAATGTACAAAACAATCTTGAATAATAATCCAAATGTTATCTTTGTTAGCATGTTCCATGTAAAAGTTCAACCTTTTTAAACTGTCCATATTGAATCATATATCGTTTGTTTTCTTAAGCACATTTTGAATAAATCCATGGAAAACAAGATAACGTGGATAAACCGTTCTGTAAATGTCTGGCCATTTGGTGTTATCACAATAAAACCAAACAAATCCATCTAACTGTGAAGATCAGTATATATTTAATGAGGACATATCTCATTTGCATATTAAAAACTTATTTTTGTGTTTACTTTCAGCATGTTAAGATTCATTATGATATGGGTAAAGTTGGGGGAAAAAAGCCTATTTGACTGTGGTGTCAAACAATTCATGTTGAGGGGGACGTAAAAGTCTGGGGATCACCAAAGGTTATGACCAACAGACGAAGAGTACCATCCATACAGCCATGGTAGCATGGCTAATAAAATCACATGTACACATGTTGAGTTAACTGTCCAATTGTATTTATTCCACAGTACAGACAATGGTAGAGAGCGCTGGGGGCCCAGGCAGAGGTCAGCCCGATCTGCCTAAACACATAAACTAGGAGACATCAGTACCTACTGTATCCTGTGTCCCAAAACAACAACAACACATGAGTCAAAATCACTTAGAAGAGTAATTCTGATACTGATGTTGTTAACCAAGTAAACACTGTTCCTCTATCAGTGGTTGTCAGTGTCATAAATGAAAGAATAACACTTTCCAATCAAACCATGTGAGAAATAGGTTATATGGCCGTTTGTATACAGCTGTGAACAGAATACAGAGAAATACTGGAGAAACACTTTATTTTAAAGCCCCCTGTGTAACATTTATTGGCAGTATATTAACACTTGATCAATGGTTTATAACCCTGTTTTGTAGTTGTAATCAGTAATAGTGTGTGTTAATTTATTTGTCAACAACTACTGTATAACCCATCCCATGTAGCATCTCTAATGTGTATAAATGCTTTAAAACAAATTACAAAACATAAAAGCATATATATAGATTTCATAACTGTTTATGCACATGTTCACAACATTCACAGGCAGGTTTTAATAATACTTATACATGTATTTCAAAACCTATAAAGAAACTTGATTATAACTTATTACGCAATCAAGTATTAATTAACTGTTAATTAATTATCCGGTTCTGGATACTTTATACTGTAGGAAGAGTTAAAAAGTTGTAACAAATAATACATTTTTAAGTGTCCTTATAATTGCTTCATTAGTGTGTTATAGTGTATTATAGTTCATTAAGTGTTTATATACTGCTTACAAATGCTAAATAAGGGGGTTATGTGTGAATGTGAAACTTTAATCTAATTTCAAACACTGCATATATCCAAAATATATATGAATTATTGCCACACTGTATTCTGACACCTAAAATATGTGTATGTCAAAGACCTACAGTTCTTTAGTAATATAGTTTTATTTCAGGGGAATTGCTTTATTAATGGTTTATAAATCATTTATAGATTTATAAGCCTTAAAAAACAACAGATTTTCAGTTGGCAGATTGTGGAAAAACCTTTATGTGAACTTTAAAACGTTAGTAAATAATCTATTAGAGGAAAAGTTTTGGGAAATATGCACTTTGCTTTATGGCAGAACGTTGGACAAGAAGCTCTATACCGGTCTTTTGACTGTCCATTAAATTTGAAGCAACAGCCAGTTAGCTTAGCTTAGCATAAAGACTGTAAACAGGGGGAAACAGCTAGCCTGCCTTTGTCTGAAGGTAACAGAATCGGCACCTGTAAAACTCGACAATTAACACGCCACATATCTTTTCAAAAACTGGAGTGTAAGAATTGAAATAAGTGGTTTAATTGTGGGTTATGTGCTAAACTATTTCTTAACAAGGACCCAGGCTAGCCGTTTCTAACTATCCCCTGGAAAGAATCTTGGCACATTTCACAAAATGTTAATTTAACGATTAATGAAGCAATTGGTTATAACCTATAACCCCCTTATAATAAAGGGTGCTTTATTAACACAAAAGGTTTTATTGTACGGTGTCAATAACTAAAACCAATACTGGTATTTTAAAGCTGAGCTGAAGAAAAACCTCCGTAGGTCTCTAAGCATTTTACATCTTATCCAAATGTGGCAATAATTATAATAATCTCAAATATAATCAGCCGAATGTTTTGATATATATTTCATTAAACAGTGACGACATTGTGGACAACACGGCTGGTTTATCATTGTTAAGCATGAAGGTTAAGTAGCTCCAATCTGACTAGATGACATGCAACAGCTTGTTAAATAGAGCTGCTTTGTTATGGGGTTTCACTTTTTCCATGCACGCACTGCTGACTGAAAAACCAGTCTCCAGTTATATTTCAAAGGTTTTGTAAAATACTCCAGTTTGAAAAATAGGTGCAGTAAGTCCTATAAAATGCTCAGCAGTTGACTGTTGTAAAGAGACAGCAGAGGTCAACAGTAGCTCGAATACAAATAGTTTTCACGAGGTGTGAAACACATCTGCAGGTGGTGTGTGTGTATGATTTCAGACTGTGAATTGCCTGCAGCTTGTCTTGTGGTAGATTGTGCCCCTGCTGTGATAGTGGTTCTGCCTGGCTGTGATTGGAACAATAATATTGCACTAGTAAAAACAAAAAACGTCCTGTGTTGGTCCGTAGCCTTAATGACTGCCAGTGCCAAGTGACAAATAAAATGCTACATAGTTCAAATATATTTCACCTGAAATTTCCAGAGTAACATTATGATCTTTAGGTAAATAAATAACTCTCAAACATATAAGTCCTACATATACATCTTTACAGTATGTACATCAACACATCCATGGCTTCTGAACAGTCTCAGAATCCAAATGGGCGAACATTCAACTCAGCAGCTAAACAGCCACAAAGGGGAACGATGTGCCGAAAACCTGCCACCCGAAGTACAACAGAAGCTCAACGCAAAAGTCCATGACTTCTTGCAGAATAGCTTATTGTTCGCGATTACAGCGACACGTCTGACCTCTGCTTTTAACTGAAAGCTAAAAACACATCTTCAGTTTTCTGTTGAAGCCACTTTTCTTTCTCAGACATGGGCAATATTATATTAAAAAGGTGGAAACCACCAACAATCAAGATCCAGTCAAAGCAGCAAGGACTGCTCTCAGTACACTTCTCCCCTTCTTACTATAATAAGAGGGTGGATCGTCTAAATCAGGGGTTTTCAAACTGTGTCCTGAAAACCAAGGGTTAGTTAGTTTGTCTAGTCTGATGTACTAATTTGGCTGCTCACCAACACAGTCAGCTGTTGCAGAAGCAGCGGTTGTGACACACAGCTCATGGATGTGATCAACTAACGTACTTTAAAACTCGTAACACATATTTTTAGATTCAGTGTGAGTTACACTTTCTGAGGATGTCATTATCTCTGCGAATAAATGCCATAAATCTGCTTATAAATAATTAAAAAAAAGACGCTCCAGAACTCAGACCTGAAGTTTTCTTCAGTATCAAAGTAATCCAGTGACAGGTGTCTGTACATCCATGGGTACACCGCAATAGCTAATTCGGCATAATGGTGCCAATATTGCCAAAATGTAAACAAATTTTAAGCTATTAAAAAAACAGGGCTCAAGTTGCAATAGCAACATTTTATTTCCTGTTTACATCTCCCAAAGCATTATGGGAACTGTAGCTCCAAACCTTGGAGTATGATTATCTGCCAAACAGAAGTAAGACAAACAATAATAACAGGAGAAGAGGGGAAAGGGGGTGTTGGCGGTACGCAGTTGTCTCAAATGTGTCTGAGGGAAGACCGACTTTTATAAAGACTTTGAAAACCCCTGGTCTAAATACTTCTCCAGAAATGTCTACTGATTGGCACATTTACTTTTTTCATATCCTGACAAAATGTACATGCGCTTACCTGCACATACAGTTCACCCTGAAAGTAATAAAAAGTGTCACGCCCCTTCAGAGGTGCAGACACATAGCAACATGACATGGTAACTACAGTATATTTTCACCATAAACTAGTGCAAAAGAACAACAATGAGGTTATACAGTTGATTAACTACAGTATTAGAGAACGAGTTTGGCTTTTGTGGTGGGTTGAAGACATTGCTGATCACACAGAGAGTGGAAACAGACACTCTTGTGTTGTGTGTGGAAGCTGGGCATTAAATAACAGCATAGTAACATGAAGTGAACAAGAGGTACAACTGTTCTGCACATCCTTGCTCCAAAAGCTTTCATTGGTTTAAAGGATAGGTTCACTATCTTTAAACTCTGCCTTTTAAACAACGGTCCGATGCCCATTTGAACACTGAAACAGATTTTGTTTGCTGTAATCATTCCTCCCATTCATACTAGCTTTTTAAAGATCCCTTTTAATGTGCTTCCACTGTAGATGAGGACTAAGGGTTGTCAAATTTTAGCGCAGTCAAAAATTTAAGATTGTCAGCATATGTAGTTTGCCGGTAACGTGTTGTTTTAGATTGAAACTTTATTAATAAATAAGAAGAAAAATAAATTGGGTTCTGCTGTAGATCTCCGAACCTGTTTAAAGGAGAGTGGGGTACAGTTTGTCACAAGTGACGTCATTCAGCTGCATTATTCTTTACAGGTATAATAACAGTTATTAGGGCAGGTAATAAAGCAATAATGATATTTTTTCTCAATAACAATAAACAATAAATGTTTAATAAATGTTTGATTTTATTTTTTTTAATCACATACAAACTAGCAGTTCATTTGGTTAAAGACTGAAAAAAAGATTTTACTTAATCTTACCCATTCATGTACCTCAGATTTGTTATGTGATCCACAGTCTGGCAAGTGTTCTGGCATGTTCTGGCCATTAAGAAAAGTTTAACACCACAATTAACCATCTGGTTTCTTCATCTTTCACATAGGAGCAAAAATCAGCCTTCAAAACATTTATTGCCATAATTATCAAACGTATATGATTTTTTAAAAACCATTTTTTTGCCATATATCACAATATATATTTAACGTCAGTAATGGTGTTAGATAAGAGCTGCTTTCATTTAGCACTGGAAAAACATTTAGAAAAGACGATGGTCACTGAGGACTTATTCACCACCTTCCCAAAATTCACAACGAGTTGAGCGCTAACATCATTTCAAAGCAGCTCACTGACGAGGCTGCCTGCAGATGTGTCCGCAGATGTTTTTTGTTTATCTGCCCTGTGAGTGCAGGTATTGGCCAATGCCGATATCTGGCATCTATCTAATTTGGACAGAGATTTGAAGACAGGAGCTACTTTTGCTATAGAAGCACTATAGAAACTTTTTGCTTTTCTAATCTCATTTTTGTGTCTTAAAAAAGTATATGGATTGTGTTTTTTCACTCTGTTTCAAGGGAACTATAGATGTTAGTCGTCAGCATCGGCAATGATGAAAGGGCTGTTCTATCAAAATAAAATGGACTTAGGTGGAGCCTTGGGGCACACCATGGCAGACAGCAGAAGAAGAGGATCTTAACTGATCCTGATCTATGCTGTAGATACAATATAAGTGTTCTAAGAGCTTGACCCAACTACTACATGTTTGAGACCATCCAAGAGTATCAATACTTTCCTCACCCTTAGCAGAGCAAATTCAGTACTGCACCCTGAACCCGGACTGGAATTTGCCAAAAATTTTGTTTTGATCACACAAAAAACAACTAAAAAGTCTGTAAGATTTAACTAACATAGACTGCTGAACCTTCACATTAGTTTCAAATTAAATTTTCAAGACATTTTTTGCACAAAACGAGGACTGTGACATTTGGTCCCTTAGCTCTAACATTGGAAGCGCATCTAAATCTATTAATGGCCAGTATGAGTTACAGCAAGCAAAAACTGTTCATGATAATTTAAGCATCTGACTATCGTTTTAAGACAGACTTAAAATTTGTGAACTTGTCCTTTTAATGAACAAGGGTGGCATCAGCACAGGAAAATCTGACTATTTTGTGCACATCTTTTGTGTTTTCGGATCGGAGATGTGAGGTGACTGCTTCTTCTACCTCCCCTTTGTATGAAAACACACAGTTCAGTAGACAGAAGCAACAAATGTTTGCTCTCACGAGGGCACCTCAGAAAAGATCAATCCAGTCATCATTTCCAGCCCATTCTTCAGTCCATTTGGTAAAAACACTGAAAGATTAACAGGTTTCTGTAAGTGAAAGCTATGTGGAAATACTTCCTCTGTCCCTCCCAGGGTCCAGCGTGAAATGAAACAGGTCCGTCCTGTACCATATCCTACGAGCCTAAAGAGCAATAAATCAGGGAACACCACGCAAGTGTCTCCCAGCAGCAGCACATGTGGGAAACTGAACACCGCCAACAGGTGAATCAGAGGTATTGCAAGCAAATGAATATATAAAGGGATTGTTGCTGTGGACTGTACAGAGTTTCAGTTGTTGCTTTAATGCTGCATGCCCTATTGTTCTGCTTTCTGTTCCATCTGTGGAGCAAGTGTCTTTGTTGGATATTAAGGCCTTGGATGGCCCAGAGGCCACACTGAAAGGGATAATTCTACAGAGTCACAAACGGTGGAATGAAAACTGGACTAGCAACCTGCATTATGTATTTAAATATATGTAGCATGTCAGTGATGAACACGTGTGTTCTGGGACTTACACAGTTCTTTCATCTGTGATGCAATATATTTTATGATTTCAAATCAGGATAGGTTTGCCCAAATTACACAAAAAGTACATTTTGTCACTAACTCCACTGGTATGTAGCCATGTGGACAGTTTGGTTTTAGATTTCTGTCCTTACCTCAATACAGTGGAGGTGAATGGGTGCTCACTTGCCTGGATCAGATCAGGCCAATCACAAGCATGTATTTAATATGGGCAGGTTTGATACAATGACTGTATAGAGGAGCGTGACCTTGTTGGCCGTATCGTTTCAATTTAATTGTTTCTGATTCCGAGTCTACTTATCGAATCCGGTTCCGGTTCCTTCATCACAAGTCTCGTCTACGCTCAGTGACCTTCATCCACTTCCTCCTTGCTCATCTTCCCCTTCATGGCTAAAGTGAAAGGATACTCTGTACAAGAGGGGCGTCTCTGTGGACTCCTCTCTAAGAAAAATATATATTGGAATCATTTGTAGACTTAATTCGTTTGCCTTTCCCTTCTTGTGTTGACTCGGCTAAAAGAAAAGTCTCAGAAATCAGTAGGATTTATCCTCTGAATATTAAATTCTCATGTACTGTATTGGGGTTGAGGCAGTAATTTCAGATAGATCAAACGCTGGACAAATAAACTCAAAACAATCTGCATGGCTAGATATCCCTAGAGGTAAGTGAGACAATACGTGTCTTTATTTTAACTGAATGAACTGGCTCTTTAAGAAGGTTAACCTTTGTAACCTTATCTCCTCTCTCCATCCTTTATGTTATTGCCAGTCATTGCTGGGTAGAGTGTTGTTTGAAGCAAGTATTCGCTCAGCTGACAGTGGGAAAGAAACAGAAGTGAAAGCCATTGGCTCTTTGCCATGGCTGCCGATTAACTTGGCCTCGAACCCGTGCTTGACTGTTTGAAGATGAATCTGGCTTTGCAGTTTGTCCTGAGCTCATGAGTGTGAATACCAGGACGGCGTATTGTGTACGTGTGTGCGGAAAGGGGAAGTGGAGGGGCGTCCCGTTATACGAGATCAGTTTAAGGCTTACAATATTTCATTTAATCCTTCCTTGTCATTTTTTTAATAGTTAGTGATGTATCCTATAAAAGTTTTACTGTAAAAGTCATGCTACAGAATTGTCTTTAGTTTGCTGGATCTCACTTGGCCTGATTAGTCCACTCCTCCTGGACAGATCCTTCTCATTCCCTCCTTTCCCTATTCCCTTACGATCAATCAAGTGTGTTTTTATGCTACATCCCTCCCGTACCCATTTAATATCTAAAACTCCAACCCTAAATCCACTTCTTCTTCTTCTACCCTTCTCTCTTTGTCCAGTCCAGAGATCATGATGGTTCAGACCAGGTCCTTTAACACCACAACTCCATTATGAACCTTATTTTGGGCCGAGTAACCCTCCACTGCCCTCCTTGGTGCTCCCGCTGCGGCCCCAGCACCCTGCAGCTATACTCATACTCCTCTGGGTTGGTGCCCCGACCCCTCGCTCCCGCTCCACCTCGCACTGGCTGAGCGTACGCTCAGTCCGCCCTGGTTGGTTGGGAGAGGCCGGCCCCGCCCCTCCGGGCTGCTGAGACGAGATGGTGCGAAAGATGTGATTACGCTTGCGAAGGAACTCTCCACCAGCTGCACCCAACCCAAAACTGCCCTTACGGAGGACCATGCGGGTGCTGGCTGACTTGGCAGGGCGAGACCTCTGGTTGTACTCCAGCTGGGACAGGTGGGAAGCGTAGCCATCCGAGATGAACTGGAAGAGACGTCAGGTCAGTCAAATTTAGTTTCCTAACCCGCTAGAAAATCCTCTGATAGAGACAGAGCTCAAACACACACACACACACACAAACACAACAATAATAAAACCTTTAAGAAAAAGCTTATAAAACAACACATTGTTAAAGATTAAACTAGTGGATTTCAAATTGTTTGGCTTGTGGCTTGTTACAAAAAAGCAGTCTCTAGTTGGGGCTTCTTTTCACATTTGAGATTAGCAGTTCCACTTCAAAGACATTTCCCCTCTAAACTTTTTCATTTAAAATAACTGTTCATGTGAATATTTCACAAAAAACAGCAGGTTCTGTATCAGATTTTGTTATTTTTTCCTCTCCCATTAATCATGTGACCCAGTGGAAGGGCCCAACACCTAGGTTGGAAACTACTGCATTAAACTAAGTATATAAAGTAATTAAACTAGCTAACTATTTATAAAGTCCTTAAACAAGCTGACAGGATATAAAGTCGTTAAACTAGCTAACTGTGTAAAGTTGTTAAAACTAGCTAACTTTTTGTAAAGTTGTTAAAACTAGCTAACTGTTTGTAAAGTGGTGAAAACTAGCTAACTGTATATAATCGTTAAACTAGCTAAATAAAGTTGTTAAAACTAGCTAACTGTAAATAAAGTTGTTAAAACTAGCTAACTATATATGAAGTCGTTAAAACTAGCTAATTGTAAATAAAGTTGTTAAAACTAGCTAACTATATATGAAGTCATTAAAACTAGCTAACTATATATAAAGTCGTTAAAACTAGCTAACTGTAAATAAAGTCGTTAAAACTAGCTAACTATATATGAAGTCATTAAAACTAGCTAACTATATATGAAGTCATTAAAACTAGCTAACTATATATAAAGTCGTTAAAACTAGCTAATTGTAAATAAAGTCGTTAAAACTAGCTAACTATATATGAAGTCATTAAAACTAGCTAACTATATATAAAGTCGTTAAAACTAGCTAACTGTAAATAAAGTCGTTAAAACTAGCTAACTATATATAAAGTCGTTAAAACTAGGTAACTGTAAATAAAGTCGTTAAAACTAGCTAACTGTAAATAAAGTCGTTAAAACTAGCTAAATGTATAAAGTCGTTAAATCTAGCTAACTAAATAAAGTTGTTAAAACTAGCTAACTATATATAAAGTCGTTAAAACTAGCTAACTGTAAATAAAGTTGTTAAAACTAGCTAACTATATATAAAGTCGTTAAAACTAGCTAACTGTAAATAAAGTTGTTAAAACTAGCTAACTGTAAATAAAGTTGTTAAAACTAGCTAACTGTAAATAAAGTCGTTAAAACTAGCTAACTGTAAATAAAGTCGTTAAAACTAGCTAAATGTATAAAGTCGTTAAATCTAGCTAACTAAATAAAGTTGTTAAAACTAGCTAACTATATATAAAGTCGTTAAAACTAGCTAACTGTATAATTCTACTCATAAATATGTAATATATAACCATATATTAACATCGTTGTTGTGGTACTGTTATTAAATACTTCTTCCACCAGCACCTTACTTACCCCACGCTTTCATAGGAAACCTGCATTCTGAGTTTCAGTACAATTTGGTATTGTGATAGATTTAAAGTTGGTCTATCCAATAAAGCAGATGGTTAAAATGTTGATAATGTTGAACTAACAAGCAGTGATTCATTGCATGGACTGCACAGAACAACACAAATGTGCCTTATCTGTCTGATGGGGTGTAATGCAGAAACGTTAGGCACAACAATCATGATTTATTCCATACCTGACACTGGTGCTGCATTTTCTTCGTGGGCCTTCCCACTATGTAGATATGGGACGGAGGCAGGCCAATAGAAGAGTACACAGAGATGTCCTTGGTGGAGCCGTAGGCTGCAAAGATCCTCATGTGAGCCTAATCAAAGAGGGAAGTGCAGTTTTAGAGATTTCAAGGATTTCTTTATCATAACGTCGCCTCAGACTGAAACCGGCCTTCTTTACCTCGTTGATGAGGGATTTGAGGAAGTTGGCCTTGTGTCGGAGCGGGTCGTGAACCAGCCCATCGCAGAAGGAGACGACGCCATGAGGAAAGTTATGCTGAGAGAGCCAGGCCACCACACGCTGCTTCTGCATGTCAGGACGACCCGTTACGTATACTATCAAATAGCCCAAGTCCTGCCAGTATCTGCAAGAAATAACAGAATAAACAGAGAACAGCTTTAGGCTGAGCACTGAAGTGGAAAATGCTTCAGCTGATTGGCATCAGCGGTTTTGTTAATGCTTCACCATCACTGGCTCATTTACAGCTGTGTGGCTACCAGCCGAGTGGTAACATACAATTAAATTCATGCATTATAACTTGACGTTTTTCACTATTACTCTGCTGATACGCTCATGCCAACGCTGTTTGCTGTCGCAGCTCCCTTCACTTCACCAACCTCATCCTTGTGCTATATTTTTAGCATTGTTTATTTAGCTAAGATTTAACGTTCAATTTTAACTGTGCAAGTTACTTGGAGGAGAGTGCATGCTGAAAAGCAGGTTACGAACAAATAAAACATTAAAGACAAAGATGCAATGCCCCCTCCATGCTGCACAAACAGAAAATGCATTAACAAATAGAATTAAATAAATAAATGTGCAATAAAATATAAAAAAGGAAATAAAAATACAACTAAAGGAAGAAATAAAAAAGGAAACCTACATTATATTTGCAAGGAAGACATACAGTATCTCTCTATATACATACAAAAATATAACATGAAATGTAGCAAAGACTGAGGGAGCTGCAGCAGCTACAGTTGAATATGTAACATGTGATCTAGATAATCTGTGCATACCTATATATTATTGCAGAGAGTTGTGGGTGTGATCCTTACCTCACCACATCCACAGCTCCAGCTCGAACCTTTGGGTCGCTGCCCATTATAGACACACTGGCAGCAAATGACCCGTCAATACTAAAAACAACAAACTCTGTTCCACGCGGGACGATACTTAGATAGCTGTCTGCAAATGTGTGGTCACCCCTGTGAGAGAAACAGCAGAGAAAGATGGAAGAGAAACGTTAGTGTGAGATGTAAAATTAGAATAGAAGTGTTTTCTTTACATGAAATTACAATAACTTAGCATACCTGACCACCATTTTGACAGGATACACCCCGATACCAAGCTTTTTGCCGTCAGGGATTACATAAGAGACACGTCCACTGCTGTTGGTGAGCTCCGTGTGAAAGTACACCCACTCTCCAGAGGGAGGCTGGGTCATGATGTGGATGTCAATCTGCAGGAAAATAACACAAAGATCTTTTAAACACTGTTTGACCTTAATGACACAGATGGTGACACGATTACATAACTCGTCTCTTCATTCTTTTTTGGTACATCACAGCTGGACGTCGTCATTACCTTCTCTCCAGTAAGGGTGACCATGTCCAGAGGGCCGTACATGAAACGTCCCGTCACCATCTGGGCCCCGTCCTCCGTGAACACAGCGTCATTCACACGGTGGTTAGCCGTCACATTCTGACACACAAGGGGACAGAAGAGGACATCAGAGTCTCGTCCTACTTATTTCAGTTGTTATCATGTTATCAGCTCAAGGGTGTAATTTCCAACGGGATTTGGGGGGGATGTCCTACTTACTGTGCAGCTGCCAAAATCCAGATGAGAGAAGCTCTGAACATGTAAAACTGAGCAATAAGCTCAGCAATTAAGCTTTAATAACAGTAGAAAGTCATTTTCTTTGCCCTGGGTTCTGGCTCTAAGGCAATAAGCTTGACTGTCTTATCCTCCTGTGGGACTGTTTTGAGGCTGTATGCAGAATTATTAGCAAAATGTACCAAAGTATCAGAATTAAAAATACTTAATCTAGAGAAAAGGCTGATATTGATATTAAATATTGATAGATTAATACAGATTTTTTTTTACATTTAACTGCTGTAGCTGCTGGAGATGGATCAACTACATTATAAAAATTTTAATTATTAATGAGAGAGGAAAGAAGAAAAAAGTTCGCTACACAAATCGGTATTAATCTTTTATTTTTCTCTAATATTTACTTTTTTTGTGAATGTTGGATAATTTTACGTCTTTGGGCAATAAATCATGTGAGAAGCTTAGAAGTAAAATCACTCTTTGGTTTAACTGCAAACAACATAAAACATTGTAAAATAAATACACTGGAGTAAAAAGTACTAATATATTCCTCTGAAATGAAGTGAAGTCGAAATAGTATACTCAAGTAAAGTATAAGTATCTTAAATTTGTACTTAAGTACAGTACTGGCAGTATGTAACCAGAGAAGAAGATTGCAGACTTTCCTCAAGGCTGAAAAAAGTACCTGCTCCTCTGAAACAAAACCCCTTGAATCAGTTTTACATTGACATTTTACTAATGTACTAATCGTTAAAAATGTCCATATTTGAAATGGAAGTATGGTGCCTAAACCACAATCAATTAAAAAACAATTTTTATGTAAATTTCTGCATTTCACTTCTGTCAAAGACATTTGCTGTAGGAAATGCACTTAAAAACAAAAAGAGCTCTTACCCTAATTTTAACATGAGTCCTCTTGCGGAGCCACTTCTCACGAGGTTTGGACGGAGTGAATTCAGACACTTCTTTACCATCCAGCTCCAAGATACTGGAGTTCTCATGTCTCATCACCTAGGGAAGAAGAGTTCTTTTAAATAAATAGTCCGAAACCAGATTCATACATCAAGAAGTAAATGGTTACTGTAGGCTTAAGTTTCACAGCCATCCTGATCTTCATCCTAGACCGGATGCTTCTGCTTCCCTCAGCAAAGTTAACATGATGTTTCAGATTTTATTTTGCTGCTAAAGTAAGGTCCTTTCTCTACTTCTTTGTCTGTATGTTTTTGTTAACCACAACAATGAAAATAAATGTACATTTAATTAATTAAAACTTATGATACATTGCTGTAGCATCATGAAAGGCTATACTGTGCCTTTGGCTGAAGCGTGCAGTTCTTCCATTTTACTCAACAAGGTTAACTGTAGCTGGAGCTGAATGTTCAGTATGAAAAAAAAACTACAAAAATGAGTAGAATAACACAAAGTACAAGCTGATTATAATACCATTCGTTTTGAATGTATTGGAAAAAATAACAGTTATATCTGTTGATGGCGCTAGACGAAAGAGTTTTTGAAATTCATCCTGAGGGAATGCACCAAAATTCATTGCAAAATATCCAGTATCCATTTGTTGTTCAATAAAAAACAAAAATGTCAACTTGCTGGTGGTGCTAAAGTAAGTAAGTCAGTTGGATTCATCATATGGGATGCCTGTACAAATGTACAAAATTTGAGCCAATGGCTAGTCCTCAAATTAAACATTTTTAAAATAAAATTATGACCTGCTTGGCTACCTGAAAAGTCAGAGGATCTCCAAAAGACGTTAGGATTCAACCTCTGAGCTATATTTTTTGGCAGTCCATCCAATACTTGTTGAGATATTTCAGTCTGGACCAGAGTGGTTGATCCCCATCGTTAGAGCCACACCACTAGCATGGCTAATAATACACTTTCATTTTAAAAATAAGATTAAATAAAAGTATCATTATTATTATTAATAGAAAGACTATGAACCTGTCGGAGTAAGAAAGAGACGACGTCTGTAGACTCCCAGTAGGAGGCATGGAAGAGATGAGGCAGAGCCACTGTGGGAAACGCTGTCAGAGCATCAGGACAGTACAGGGCGTAGTCCATCCTCTTACTGCCCCACCACCGAGAAGCAACTACAGCGGGGAGGGAACGAGGAAAAGGTGGAGAAAAATAAGAGAGACAGAGTGAGTTTAGAAATCAGTGCATACAGTACCTTGATCGTAGTTTTTGGTCCACTGTAGATCTACATTCTGCTCATGTAAGAGATGAACAGTTCAAGGTTATCGTTAAGAGGTTTGGAACGCACTCTCGCAAGAAAACTCAGACTCACTGAGAACCAAGTCTGGTAGTCTTGCAAAGGAAAGCACAGAAGTGGTTCTCATGAAACTGAGCTTTAAGAGAAGTCGCATAAGAAGGATTAATTTTTGGAAACTACTGAGGAGGACTATCTGAGAGAGGAAGATGCCAGAGGAGGAAGGAAAGAACACAGGGAATGAGGATGGAGCCTAGCATCCTTCCCTCATGTCCTCTTACTACAGCTCCCAGGGTACCTTGCTCTATGTTCTTCAGCACCCCGTGTGACAGGGGCGCCGAGCGGATGTCTGTGATGTGAGACGTGACATCGGTGAGGTCAGAGGTCATGTCAGAGCTAACGTTCGAGCTCAGCTCAGATTCCACACCGTTGGGTTTGGGGAACACCTGGTGGATTTTCTGGCGCGACCGCAGGGACGAGCTCCGAGAGACAAATCTATTGTAGGGTAGAGCCAGCTGGGACAACAGACTGGACCTTTTAGAGGGGCTGACTTCATGTTTGTGTGCTGAGGGAGTGTTTGGAGGGAGGAGATGAGAATGTCAACACATACATTGTGAGCTTATACACCAGAAATTCAGAGACAGGAGGTTAGAGGTCAACTCACTCGTGGCGATGTTGGAGGCGGTGTAAGAGTCAGCTAAGCCTGACACCTGGCTGGCAATGCTGGCCTCGCTGGCCCTGCGGTTGAAACGAAGGTGAGGGACCCCTGGTGACGTCGACGGTGGGTACTGGCCGTCTACAAAAACATGCGAGTGAAGAGCATCTGCTGCAGAGACAGAAGAGAGAAGTCAGAGTCACATTCTTCGCTGCAAAGATTAACAATTAATGATATAGTGATTCAAGGAAAATTCCAGTTAATTCCAATTTTGGTTTTTGGTTTTATTTCCATAGCTTTGGCGACATTTCTTCAGACGTCTGTTCCAAATACAGGCAGCGGGACTTCAGCGATTAAAACAAATAAAAGCCCGGGCTATTAACTGAAGTTTTACAGTAGGTTTAGTTGTTTCCTTCTGTTTTCAGTCTTTATGATAAAACATTTTGTACTCCTTAACTTGGTGAGTACAATGATCTCCTAACTGATAGAAATGATGGTCAAAACTATATAAATAAGGCCCCATCCATTTCGTTTTAAAACGGAAGCCTTTTTGCTACGTTTGAACCTCCCGTCCAAACTAAAACGGCGAAAACGAAATGGAGTATTTTTTTTTTAAAGCGCTTTAGTGCGGACGGGCAAAGACGGAGGACTTTAGAAACGATGACGCAGACGCTCCCGTTTGGCTCTCTGATTGGATCTCATAAGTCATGCAAAGTAGAAACATGATGCTTCTGACAAACGTTTATGATTTGGTGTTTTTATTAAAATATTTTGTATCGTGCAAATAACACTTTCAGCCTACACTTGTATTGTGCATGTCGCCGTTTACTTTGCGATGACTCCCAGACTCCCGTGTTACTTTCAGTCCCAGCTCGTTATTGCTCCATGCAAAAAAAATCTGGTGTGGTTCTTCATCTGTATTTCTTTATTCTTCCACAAAATCTTCTGTAACTATGGAATAGACCATCTGCTTCATGTTTACACAGGCACGGGCATGCCCAGTGTACCTGAGCGACCACTCGATGTGCGTTTTCAGTCGTTTTAATGTAGACAGAGATTGTATTCGTTTTAAAACTCCATTTTTAAACTAAAACGGAGTTGCGTGGATGAGCCTGGGCCTGAGACTCAGGTTGTAATATACCAGAAAAAAAACGCAAAAGGGATAATAGATACGAAACGATTACACACTCTCTGTGAGGAGCTGCGAGCTCTGCCAGTTGAGGACGGGCACAGGGATGGAGGTCTCGTTGACGTCGCTCCCCTGCGAGCGGTGGGATGCTGCACCACCAGACTCCATCAGCAGCTGAGGGTTACTCTGCATGATCTCAACTAGGAAGGCAGATGAAGGGAAGAAGAGATACAAAACATGGATTACACCTATAAACAACAATGACTCACCTACATGTAGTACAGTACAGGAAAAAGTAAAACTGCAGTAAAATATTTTGTGACGTATGTTGGTGAACCAAGCGGCAACCTCCGGGTCTGAAAAGTGAAGCCAATGCGGAAGTGCATTACACCTGGATTATTTCTAATGGCCAGCAGGGGGCGACTCCACTGGTTACAAAAAGAAGTAAGATTGTATAAATAAGAAAACGAGACTGCTTCTCAGCTGATTTATTACCTCAGTAAACACTTCCCTAATGAGTTTATGGTCCCAGTCGCTAGTTTCAAGTCTTCTTCAACACAGCATGATGTTCGTTTAGTAAATTACGGTTCCATTTAGAGGAAAATAGACCATAAAGCAGGGGATGCTTTAGGACGGGGCTACCTTGGGATTGACAAGTCACTACCACGATGACCTGTCAATCAGGATAGAGGCGAAATGTATCTGCTGCTCTTTGTACATTTTACTTTGTACAGGTTTTTTGTTGCCATCGGTATTTCTGTCTCAGAGTTTTGACCCTTTCACTTGTGTGTTTTCATTTCTTGAACGATAACTGTAAAATTTAGTCGCCTAAAAATGTTTTGTTGAGCGGTCGCTTGTACTAAAAGCCACTCTTAGCTGTTCTTTTTTTCCCCAGTAAGTACGTTTTGCCTGTTAAAGTCAAATTTAGCATCCCAATTAATTTCACTGTTAACGTGAAAACGGATGAGGCCAACTAGCTCCACCCTCTTGTCCAAATGGTTACTTTTGGTTCCAGAAGAATCAAGATAGTGACGGCCAAAAAGGCTTTTATGCATTTTTTCACCACACATTTTTATTTTTTATTTTTTACAGTTTTACACAGTCCATGATGTGTACTCACCCAAGATAGCTGAGTGCCCATCACCCAGAGGAAAGCGCTGGTAACGAGGGACACTAAAGGGAGGCAGCAGGTGGAACCGCTTGTCCAGAAGAGGTTCGAGGCGGGAGGCCGAGGGATCCGCGGGATGAAACAGGTTGTGAACCTGCTGACAGGCCGGACGTAGAGCGGACACTGGGGAGGAAGCAAAATGAGAGATAAAGAGAGCGCAATAAGGTTCAAAATGGGGAAGATAAACTAGTTATCAAGAACAAACTAACCCACAGTTTAATAAAGAATAACTTCTTTCTCTGGTTGAAAGATTCAAGTCTCTTGTGCCTGTAACTACACGGTGTACTGACCCAGCCTAAAGTACTTCACTGCAGCCATAAGATAAAATTAAAACCACTGGACACAAGTTAGTGTGACCAGATGTGTCCCGAAAAATCCGGGACAGTCCCGAATTACGAGCAGTTGTCCTGTCCGGTTTGTCCCGAAAATTAGACTTAACATAAGTTTTGATTATAGCCTAATGAAACATTAAATAGTGATCGTTGTGTGGTTCTCAGGCTCCAGCAGGGGTTGCAGCTTATCTGTACGTTGTGTCAACAGCGTTGTTATAGCCATAAAGTAACATGTGCTCTTTTCCCATTTTTCTGCGAGGGTTCAGGGTTTAGGGTGGAGATTGGGCTGTCTGTATGCTGTGTACAGAGGCTTTTTACAGCTTTTTCACTGAAAACAGCTGCCTGCTGCTGCTGGGAACGACGCTGATATGAGCAGTGAGACTGAAACAACGCAAGGGCTGGGGAACTCCAGGTCCGGATGATTATTTACAATAAATAGATCAAGAAATGTATAAGAATAAGATAAACGTTATAATATTAAAACTTCTGTATGTGACTTTTGATGCCAAACAAACTTTGTATTGTAAGAAGAGGAGGAATAAAAAGCTGCAACTTGATAAAAAACAAACATCTTTTGTGTTGTTTTGTTGGTGGTAATTGCATTTGTGATTGTTTAACAACAAAACAATGAGAAATTAATGGCGGAGAAAACTAAGAAATGAAAAGAGAGGCAATAAATAAAACATTCTGTGAACAGCTTTAATCATATCTAACTGTAAATTGATCCAGATGTTAACCCAACAGCTGCAGGTCAGTAACCTTTCTCCTTCAAACCCAAAGGACGCACAATACAGGCAGATTCGTGCCTGCGTGAGCTCTGACTTCAATCACGTATTTGTCTTTTCTCAGCCAAAACATTTTCAGCCTTTGAGATCAGAAACATGACCTCTGACCCCTGACACCTGCTTTGCAGCTGCTGGAGACATGTATCTCACGCAGGAGGCTACAAATAACCACTTCCTGCTCATCGGGCAAAAGGAAAATCATTAGAAAAAGAAAGCCTACAGCATATGAATAATCAGATACACGAGGAACATCCTAAAAAACCAAAAGAGAACTGACACAAAAGGAGAAAACATTCCTCACCATCTAACGAGGGCACCACTGTCTTCCTCAGCGCGAGCACCAACCCCAGAGGAGAGCCGAAGAGGAAGAAGTCAGTCACCTCAAAGTCAAACTTTCCTAAGGAGCCTCCTTCCAGCATGGTGCTGTTGCTGGAGCGTCTTGATCCGGGTTCCCCGAGGAGCACACTGGAGTGAAGGCTGCTCAGAGACAAAACATTCACACAACCTGTTTTAATTTTGTTAATAAAACTAACGGAAAGAATTCGTTGACGACCCATTTCTCAAGGACAAAAAACTAAATAAAAAGTAACCTCTGAAAACGAGAAGCACGATGAAGTATGTTACATTTTTCATCAACTAATAAAAACTAAGCTATAGTGTGAAAGTACATAAATAAATATATATATATATAAGGTTATATAAGTTCCAGGATTATCTGGGATTATAACAGTCAACCATCTAAATATTCCTCTAGATGTTCGCAAAAGAAATATCAGTACGTTATCCGATATTATATATATATATATATTATATTAACCCAGACAGTCAACAGTATCTTAGTGAACAAATGAAGATTCTGATTGATTCGCTGCTCTGCTGTGGAGAGAACAAATGTCTGTGCTAATGATAAGGCTAACGCCAGGTGAGCAGGAGAGAGACAGTGGTTCAGAGTTTTTAATGATAAGTGGATTTACTGAGGAGTCTACTGCATTACTGCAGAGTCACATGGCCTTTCCCTCTAACCTAGCGCCAACAACACCCATTAACCATTGTAACTGAACACAACAAAGATATAGACGACTGAAGCCTCAAAATGCTTAGAAGAAGCCAAACAAAATCAGACTAAAATGTAGTTTTATTGGCTAAAATCTGACTAAAGCTTTTTCATTAAAAGATTAAAACTAAATCAAAATCAGGGAACAAAATGAACACTGCATACAGTGGGTATGGAAAGTATTCAGACCCCTTTAAATTTTTCACTCTTTGTTTCATTGCAGCCATTTTCCAAAAATCAAAAGAGTTCATTTTATTTCTCAGTAATGTACACTCAGCACCCCATCTTGACAGAAAAAAAACAGAAATGTAGAAATTTTTGCAAATTTATTAAAAAAGAAAAACTGAAATATCACATGGTCATAAGTATTCAGACCCTTTGCTCAGTATTTAGTAGAAGCACCCTTTTGATCTAATACAGCCATGAGTCGTTTTGGGAAAGATGCAACAAGTTTTTCACATCTGGATTTGGGTATCCTCTGCCATTCCTCCTTGCAGATCCTCTCCAGTTCTGTCAGGTTGGATGGTAAACGTTGGTGGACAGCCATTTTCAGGTCTCTCCAGAGATGCTCAATTGGGTTTAAGTCAGGGCTCTGGCTGGGCCATTCAAGAACAGCCACGGAGTTGTTGTGAAGCCACTCCTTCGTTATTTTAGCGGTGTGCTTAGTGTCATTGTCTTGTTAGAAGGTAAACCTTCGGCCCAGTCTGAGGTCCAGAGCACTCTGGAAAAGGTTTTCGTCCAGGATATCCCTGTACTCGGCCGCATTCATCTTTCCCTCGATTGCAACCAGTCGTCCTGTCCCTGCAGCTGAAAAACACCCCCACAGCATGATGCTGCCACCACCATGCTTCACTGTTGAGACTGTATTGGACAGGTGATGAGCAGTGCCTGGTTTTCTCCACACATACCGCTTAGAATTAAGGCCAAAATGTTCTATCTTGGTCTCATCAGACCAGAGGATCTTATTTATCACCATCTTGGAGTCCTTCAGGTGTTTTTTAGCAAACTCCATGCGGGCTTTCATGTGTCTTGCACTGAGGAGAGGCTTCCGTCGGGCCACTCTGCCATAAAGCCCCGACTGGTGGATTGCTGCAGTGATGGTTGACTTACTACAACTTTCTCCCATCTCCCGACTGCATCTCTGGAGCTCAGCCACAGTGACCTTTGGGTTCTTCTTTACCTCTCTCACCGAGGCTCTTCTCCCCCGATAGCTCAGTTTGGCCGGACGGCCAGCTCTAGGAAGGGTTCTGGTCGTCCCAAACGTCTTCCATTTGAGGATTATGGAGGCCACTGTGCTCTTAGGAACCTTAAGTGCAGCAGAAATTTTTTTGTAACCTTGTCCAGATCTGTGCCTTGCCACAATTCTGTCTCTGAGCTCTTCAGGCAGTTCCTTTGACCTCATGATTCTCATTTGCTCTGACATGCACTGTGAGCTGTAAGGTCTTATATAGACAGGTGTGTGGCTTTCCTAATCAAGTCCAATCAGTATAATCAAACACAGCTGGACTCAAATGAAGGTGTAGAACCATCTCAAGGATGATCAGAAGAAATAGACAGCACCTGAGTTAAATATGAGTGTCACGGCAAAGGGTCTGAATACTTATGACCATGTGATATTTCAGTTTTTCTTTTTTAATAAATTTGCAAAAATTTCTACATTTCTGTTTTTTTCTGTCAAGATGGGGTGCTGAGTGTACATTACTGAGAAATAAAATGAACTTTTTTGATTTTTGGAAAATGGCTGCAATGAAACAAAGAGTGAAAAATTTAAAGGGGTCTGAATACTTTCCGTACCCACTGTACATTAGATTAAATCTGTGTGATTTCTGCATCTCACCTGGACAGGAAGGCTTGGTGCTGTTTGATGGTGTCCAGCTCGTACGTGGAGGAGTCGCTGCGCTTGCGTGGAAGTTGCCTCTTGGGGTCGTCGGGCCCCGAGCAGCGAGGGATGTCGATGTTGCTGCGGCTGAGATGGCGGCTTCCTTCGAGGGACGGCGAGGAAGGAGAGGCGCTGTTTATGACAATACCTGGAGAAAGAAGGTCTGTGTCCTGAGAGGCAGAGGTGGAGAGAACAAAAATAACACTGTCAGCCTTGAAACAAGTGGTTAAAAAGCTGTCTCTAGTTTTACATTTTTAAGTTTTTAGCCACACTAGCAGCATCGCTCTGGGGAGGGAAATGCTGGTCGGACCGCCGCTAACTGAAAACTGAATTATCTCAACAACTATTGGCTGGTTTGCCATGACATTTGGTGCAGATATCCACGTCCGCCTCAGGATGAACTGTAATAACTTTTTTGATTACTTCACGTTTAATCTTGCGCACTCTTGTTTGATGTCAGAGAGTTAAGATTGATACCTGAACACTGATGGCGCTGCCCCGCCTGCTGCTGTTCTGGCTTTCTGACACCGTCACAGAGCTGCTGCACAGAGCATCAAACCCCAGGATCCCCCCAACACAGTCCCCAATAACACACACCTGCGTTAGAAAACAAAGCACAAGAACATGAATACACACACATAAATCTACAGCTTCATCTGTGCATGCATCTGAAGTAGCACGTTAAGTTACACACTGACCTGGCCAGTAAAAGATGACCCCTCTAAAGACTTGATGAAGTCACTATACACCTGATTGGCTCGTAAGATGACGGTAGCCACGGCATCTTGGTACTGTGGCGCAGAGGTAGCCAAAAGGGGCAAAGCAGCAAGAGGGATGTGGTCCTGACTGCTGGACAGGCAGCTCTCGTCGTAGCTGTAGGGGCTTAGACTGCCGAGCAGAAAGGACATGTTATCTGTCTGTATGTGTGTTTAACAGTTTCACAGCAGATTATTTAAATGCTGTTGAATACACAGGAGCATTGCTCACTTGGAGACGAGTGAGAAGGCGTCGACACACACAGCTGGACAGGGGACCATCCGGATGGCGATGCGGCCCAGAGCTGTGGGGTAATGGACCCTCATCACGGTCTCAAAAGCCCCGCTCAGCGTGTTCACATCTGCCTGCTTGCTGTTCTGTTCACCTGCAGACAAACGAGAACAGGGTTTACGTATTTAATTTTGTAGGACTCTAGATGAGTGGATCCAAACCTTTTGTGACTTTAAAAACAAACTGATCCGATCCATCAGAAGCTGCATTATTCAACAAGCTCAAAGCACATTTTCTTTCTTCTGTTGTTTCATGTGAAGAAGAATTAAAATTATCGGGGATTTGTGCAGCAGAAATAGTTTTTTCTCTTCTTTCCTATCGTGTTGTTCATCGATTTATCTTGCAGCACCTTGAGAACTGGCTCTGGGGCGCTACTGCTCTAGTTTAGAGATTTTTTTCCTACTGAAACAGAAATAGTTTCTGAAGATTTGTGATTTTTATGTGAACTTTAACGTTAATTATTTACACATCCAGCCGATACGGACCAACATGATAATTAATTCAGAGTTTGTGTAACCTTGTGAACCAATACTCACTCTTGGTGTCTACAATCTCCTGAAGGAAATGTCTGGCTCTTTAGCTGCTAAATGCTCTACTGTGAGGGCGGCCCCTAACTCCTAACCTTATTGCATGTGTATAAGTCCTGTTTGTGCACGTGCGTGTCTGTATTTCGGACGTGTGTGTTTAATAATAATAACGTAAAATTATTTTGAATTTGCAGGATTAAAAATTTTCACATTATGTACTGTGAAGGCAGCGGACAGTCAATTAATAGCTGCCTGCTGCTGGAAAGAACACTACGATATCTGTGAGACTGAACCGACATAGTAAAGTTGTGGCACCTGAACCAAAACAATAAGCTGAAAGAAGCTAAAACACTCCGTAGAGCTGTCGGGTGATAATTCTCTGTAGGTTCTAGGAACTGCCCTTTCACATTACACAGCCTTTTCATCCATTGTCATTATAAAAATATTGATTACAGCTGCTTTAATTACTCATGCAGTGAGAATTAATCATGTGTGAAGTGTGACTTTCATTATAATGTTACAGGATCTGATTGCTGCTGTACCAGAGCCAGTATCCAGGATGTTTCCTCCATGCAGGACCAGAAGGAGGACGTGGATTTTGCACGGCTGGAGACACTGCTGAGACGAACAATCCTGCAGGTGAGAGGACAGAAGACGGAGAGACAGGTAACAGAGTTAATAGTGATAAGGGAGCGAGCAGATGGGAGAGAAATAAGACAATATACAGGGCAAAATACTAATATTTATAAAGCAAACATGCCAAACATTTACTGGTTTCACCTCCTCCAATGTGAAAATGTGTTGCTCTTCTCAGTTTCAAGCCAGGGTAAACTGAATATCTTTGGGTTTTGGGTTTGGATTGTTATATATGTATGTATATATATGTGGTGTATCACACACACACACACAGAATTGTGGTACAGAAGGTATTTTTCACTATTTTCTGACATTTTAATCAGATGAAGTAATGATTAAAATTATTACTTGAGCTCAAAAAAATACAACATCTGACATGGAAAAAAAGAATACAGTTAATATCCTGTATATTTTATATATATATAAATAGGATATATAAATATATCCTATATATTTATTTACTTTGTTTCCCATTAGTATTATTGTATTATTTTGTATACTTGTACATTTTTGATCTCTTTACTTTATCTATATTTATATTTCAATATTTTATGTTCTATAGCACCAATATATCAAGGCAAATTCCCCGTATGTGAAAATGTACCTGCCAATAAACCCCATTCTGACTCTGATTCTGATGTGAATATGATGCGATTAAATCTTTGACGGTGGGAACAGCAGCTTGTGTGAAAGGCTTGAAAGCTCTAGAACAACTACTGAATGGATCGGTATGAATGCGGGTTCTAAAGTTATCCGTGGTTATGATGGAGGAGTTTGGTCAAGCTCGACAAAAGAACCCCTGATGATGTCATAGTGATGTCATTATGGTTATCTCGGCTTGGGTTTGTGGACTACACGCTTTTGACAGGATGCCTTTGTTACAAATTGGGTTGTGAAGTTTGAAACACATGTGCATGGTCTGATGAGAAGCTGCTATGTTGAGTTTCATTATGGGAAATGATTTTGGACCCTGATAAATTCTCGGGACTGGACGTCTTTCTCAGCCTCTGCTGCATCAGTTTTAAATCTCTTGCTTTAACTTTATGGAAGTGCAACATTAAATAACTGGAACGCCCCTTTAATGAATCCTCGTCTTCGTTTGTGTATATGAATATTTAAGAAGCGAGTGAAATGTAGAGTGGAATGCTTTGTACAGTTAAAGGAATAGTTTGACATTTTGGAAACGTGTTCATTCGGAGAGTTAGACGAGAACAACAACCCTTTCCGTAGAAAATGAAGCAACAACCAGTTAGCCTAGCTTAGCACAAATTCTTAAAAGGAGGAAACAGAGCTGTCCCTCTGACTCTGTACAAAAGCTAAGAAAATCTGTCTACTAGCACCTCTAAAGCTCACCAATAAACACGTTATATTTCATTAATATGTACAAAATCCAGTGTAAAAACAAATTAGACCTTTTATGTGGGGTTATGTGTCGGAATATTTCTTGGTTGCAACCAGTAACTTGCATTTAGTTTTCTGGAAAACCTGATGGATTGATGTCCTTGCCTTTTTGAGACTCATCATTGGACACAAAGTGCAAGAACACCACCCTTCCCCCCAAACTCACACAGTGGAACTTGTGAAAGCCTATTTTAATCATGCAATCACAAGTGCAAAGTGGTGGGTCTTCATTTATGTGCAGCTGCGCACAGTGCGAAAGGGCTGGGTGAAGTGGAATAAATATATCGGAGGGTGTAATAATTAATAAATACACTCTCAGCCAATCACATCACTGGTCAACTCATCATTCTGAAACAGCTGAGCCGATCACAGTGAGGGGGAAAAAAGTTGGAAAGGAGGTCGTGAAGCACAGGATTAATGAACTCTGGTAATCTGACGTACTCCCACATAATGAAAACCGAGTCATAACCGACCCGCCTGACGTGTGTCTCATTTAAATGAACCTCCCACCTGGGCGCCTCTTACGTTGGTCGTTGCTCCGTCACCAAAATAGGTCCCTTAATCTTTTACCTGAAATAAAGCTGATGGCTGCAGCAGAGAGTGGATCGTAATTTCACTACACTGGCAGGATGACTGAAAGCTAATTTAGGAGGAGGAGTACGATCTACAAGCTATTTAATTAAACGTGTTAGTGTGAGTGTGACATGAATGAAATTAGAAAAAAACGTGAAGGAACTGTACCTCCATCTGCCTCTCCTCATTACTCATCCCAGCGTACTCCCCACCCGACTCCTGATACAAGGTTTCTGTAAAAGAAAATTCATTAACTGATATTTAAAGGAAAGAAAGAGTGATTTAAACTATAACTGTACATCCTGTTTTTTCAGTTTTTCATTTATCAGACATGTACGTGAATGAGTTTCTAACAGAAACACAAGGAGAGTCACCGACCTTGTGCTTCATCCACCTCCATTGTTTCTATCTTGTCCATCAGGTCATTGGAGCTCCACTTGGTGATCTCCTTCGCAAACATCTCCTCATTGTCAGAAAAGTCCTCTGCAAGATTCACAGAAGAAATTAATGAAATGAATAATCCAAGACAAAGACACTTTCTCTCTCTCTCTCTCTCTCTCTCTCTCTCTCAACGACCTGTTTTAATGATATAAGCGCTCGGCGTGAAGCACATGGTGCAGTTGCGTTTGAACCAAATTTCCCAATTTTTTGTGTGTTTTGGGCGTAACACGCAACGAGTGTCATCTCACCCCCATTCCCTTTAAAAGCCTGGTGCGCGGATGAGTGGCACATTATAAAAATCATCAATTGATTGATTGAATCGCAGACTCACAGCAGAGGGGGGGTTTTGGACAGGAGTGTGGATGTGATATAAAAACGGTCTCTGATCATGAAGCCTAATGCTCCTCTGCAGCTCCCGTGGTTTATCAGTAAAGTGTCACTGCAGACTGGAGTCTGTTAACAGACAGACGCGATCTCTCTATCTACACACAGCGTCCCTCTTAAGAGCGTCTTACTATGGGAGTAATGCGGCCCTAAAATAACAAAAAACAGTGAAATGCCACTGACTTTAGACCTGTTTTTTTTTTTAAGTTGGTGGTGCAATTCCTTTCTGCTGCCTCATGATAGCAACACGCCAACAATTTGCCTGACCACACCTCATTATAAGACCAACACTCCCATGGGTGCACAGATAGGCGTAAGTGCATTCGCTATTTAAACAAATGGGCGCTTGGCATGAAAATGACAACTGCATCGTTTGGAAACTAGTCAACTTTCAGTTGACACTTGCTTTGCGCCGGGTGCAAGATAGGGCCCTTTATCTCTCTAAGTCTCTGTACTTATATCTATATCTACATGTCTATTTCTATCTATCTACAGACAAGATTTTACAACTCTGGAAAATTATTACAACGGCAGTTATTTGATCTTTTGTCGAGACAGTCATGAGGTAAACAGCAAAAATACAGCGTTCTTGTTACAATGTTATCTGCCATCACTAATGTGCTATTGCACGTGTTTGATTGGCCGCTGCATTTACGTTGCGACTTGGTGAATAAGGGGGCTGCATTCTTTCACACACAGCTGAAGTCTCGCTGAACGTGGCCTTAAACAGTTTAAATCCTTGCCCTTAAAATATTACAAAACTTTGGTTGACTTTTGTTTATAAATGTGATTTATATGTAAAGTGGCTCGACTATATTTCTGGCAGCTATTTTGAAGAGCAAGAATATTTTCATTTTGTGAATCTAATGTAACAAGCTACGACTGCTCTCCTCTAAACTGTATGGTGTGATACTAACTAAGTATTATAATGTTTCAATGCATTCATTACGGGGCCAGATGAGCACATAAAATGAACAAAACAGGATGAAGGATGGAAGCTTTAGCTGCTCCACAGATAATATTTATCAGCCCAAAGACATCCTGAGCAATACGATACAAACAAATTAATCAGTCAAGATCATGTTTGCATGCTGTAAAGCCAGAACAAAGCAGGAAGCACTACTTAAATATCATTTATAGCAACATAACACAAATAGTGCATGTTTAAAAAAGGGATTATATTGTGTAACATGCAAACACTGATGATTTTACCGTGAGCATCAAAGAACTCGTCGTCTGTACTGTCTTCTGAGTCTCGGGCAATGCTCTGCATCCTCCACTCTGAAATGCTCTGGTGAGACGGACTCCCTGTAAACAAGCAGAACACAGCAGGTCATTATGTTAATCTTAAGAGAAATTACTCTGTAAAAACTCCAAACTGCTGCTCACCGCCTCGTTTAGATGACCTGTTGGAGGATCTGGAGGATGTTGACCACTGCTTGGTGAGCTCCCCTCGTGTCTCCAGTGAATCTCCCAGCTTCCCTCCTTCTGCCTCTGCAGCTGATCCCGCAGTCTCAGCTCCCTGCTCCTGGTCCTTGCTCACGGAGGAGCTGTTGGTCTCCGTTCCCCCTTCTTCATTGAGGCTGTACTGGGCCATCTTCTTAGCCAGAGCCAGCTGGGTCTCCAGCTCCAGCTGCCTGATGTCCTCGATGGTCAGGCCGTACCACTCGTCCTGCCAGCACCACGCCTGCCTGTGGGCTCGAACCATCACTTTACGCAGGCCTGAAAGCAAAACAAAAGGGATTTAGTGGCATGTCAATTAATTTAATGAGGAACAAATCATATTTCTGTGAAATCCACTCCACTAAAATAAAAATGTATAGTTATGGTTGGCAAATACATATTTACAGTTAAGAACGGCATGTCAGGTAAAGGTCCAGATAAAGGGTGTAGGTTCGGTTTCAGACATGAGCAGGGGCAAAATGACGTCTGTTGGCAATGCAAATAACACATTATAAAGAATAAGGAATTTAAAATGTCGCTGTAATTTCTGTATTTTTATTGCACTAACACACTGGTTCCATTGATACAGGAGGTGTACTGAACATCTCTCACCAGACACTGCAAGAATAAAAAGTTAAATTAAATAAATAAACCACGCAAAAACCTTCAAACTGAAATGTAGTTTTAGTCATTAAAAATCTGTTCTTGTCCCAGGAACACCGTCCTTCGTACAAGTAGTAGTTTTTCCGCCTCGAGTAGTGTCTGCAGAGCTTCCTGTCAGCTCCAACAGGCTGCACCAGTCTTCTAGGGTTTAGGGCAGCCTCTAAATGTCCTGAGAGGCAAACCCCTCAAAAGAACTCACTGCTGCTCATAAAGCTTATAAGGAAAAAAAGGAAAAATGCTTATTCCCTTTATTAATACTGTTGTGAGCACACAGGAATAATTAATTTGATAAGACTGAAAACAGATTTAATTTTAATCAATGCCTTTCTCCTGATGAACTAAACAAGCACCAGCTGGTTATAAAACCCAAACCCTCCAAGCAGATCGTGATTAAAACAACTAACCTGACAATAAAAGCCTAAATTAGCAAATATTGAAAGCTATTATATTCATATCCAGGAAAATAATAACCGCTAACACATTATTAAATTAACCATGAATGTGGAAATTGCTGACATGAATGATTAATAAAGCTGGAAAGGTTCTGCATTATAAAACCAAAGACACTATCAGCACAACTCAGAACAAAGACACTACATTAGAACTGGTGCGTGGTAATATTTATGCATCAGGCTTGATGCAGTTCAGAGTAGAAGTCCAGTAAACAGCAATTAGAATAAAAACAAAGGAAAACTTCCTTGAAAGCATCTAAGTGGCAGTGGACACAGTGGGAGTTTAAACACACATTTTGTGGTTGAAGTTCTGCCGATCAGAGTGTGAATGCCATGAAGACAGAGCAGCTGCTGCTTCATTAGCCTGGAAGTAAATGCTGTGAGGGAGTGAGCAGAGGGCTGAGAGAGTGTATAAACAGTCTTAAATCACAGCAGTGAAACAGAAACAGACCAACACTGGCAGGAAATTAATCCAGTATGCTGTGTTATCTCAGGGAGCCAGACTCTACTCTCGGCTCCTGCAGCTCAAACTCTTTCTGTACTGTCTCAGCCAGGTATCATTTTATTTATTTATTTACTGGCTTTACCTGTCCTCTTACTGTTCCTCACACTTGTACACCATTTCTTTTTCAGTATCTTCCCCTTGTTTCTCTCTCTGCTCCGGACCAGAGTGTTTTCATTAATCTGTGGTTAATCATTATAGGGATCAGCTCTGGGCTGGACCAGCTTTGTGTGAGCTCTCTCCTGACGTTACGGCGTAAAGTCGACTCTAGAGGCTTAGAAACTAGGGGTGTGACCAGATCTGATTTGAAAACAATATTTTTCGTAAAGCTGTCCCCTGATATCCGCATGACTGAGTGTGAGGGTGAAATTACTATAGATGATGCCCCCGCCACTTTTAACTCGTTTGTGTGGCAGCATTTTGGGCACCCGGTGGAAACAATAAAGGGTGTGACAGACGAGACACAAACAATGTGTAAGCAACATTTCAAAACGCGCTTGCATTGTTTTGTATTTTGTGACTATCAGTCAAAGAAAAAAACATTTTTCATTGAAATGTTTTTTAAATAGCATTAAAATCGTCTTGTCTCGTGAGCTAAGTGTATCGTCACACCCCTACTGTTAATTGATGGGTGGTGATGGCGCAATTAATAAGACGCCTGCCTTTGGTGTGAGAGACTCGGGTTCAATCCCCCACTGTGACCCCTGAGTAAGACACTTAACCCCTCGTTGCTCCAGAGACCTCTGACATGTATAGCAATTGTAAGTCGCTTTGGATAAAAGCGTCAGCTAAATGTAAAATTACTAGTTAGTTTGCAACTAAATCAGATAATAAAATTGGTTAACTCACAATTACCAAGGTCATAACTAAGGCAAGTGGCCAATCAATAATCGATGATAGACTCCCAACTTCATGGTTACCGTGCATAATAAAGCTAGATCAATATTAACACCTAATAAATAAGGTCTCTACTGTAGTCCCTTGTTGCAAAACGGCAGGATGTTAATGAAAAATGATGCTGTGGGGCAGAAAAACTGCTTTTTCACCATTAGTGTATTATGCTGTGACATTTTATGATTTACACCGACCCTGGGGCATGTGTAACTACTTACTTTGAGTTATGTTGTAGCTCATCTCTGTGGCGCAACAGCTTTTACTTTAGTAATATTTTACATTATATAACTATGTTTGAACACTGCTGCTGCAACAGCCTGCAGGACTGTTTTTTATAGACTTCCTCACTGATTTGTGTACATGCAGCCACAAAGATCTCTCACTTTTTTTCTCTGACCCCGTTATCTTTTAAGGTATTCACAACTGAAAACAAAAGGTTTTCTTATCCTTTATTAATCAAAATCTTCTCTGAATTTAAACCATCCTAAGTAGGAGCAATGTGCAGCCATTGTGCAGCACCCAGAGAGCAGTTAGGGATTCAGCCCTGCTCAGGAGCACCTTCAGCGAGGGTCTGTGCTGGACTCAAACCGGCGACCCTACGGTTCCCAAGCCAGGTCCCCATGGACTGAGCTACTGCCGCCCCAAAATGGAGTCTTTAAGTCTGATGCGCTACCAACTGAGCTATAGGCCCAGTCTCAGTGACTTCTGAGGATTATTCACAACTTCTTCACAGTTTTCACTGACTTTTATGCTTACTCACCAAATTGAGGGTTTTCCCTTTTCAGGGTTATTCCTAAATTATTAAGTTATATCTATATTTCCATGATTAACCATGAGTTATTCTCAACATTTCAGCGTTGTTGCAACGATGTTTTCTCTGACTTTCTGTAGTTATCTCTGAATGTTATTGCTGACTATCCAGGATAATTCCCAACTTTTTCAACATTACCATACCAACATTACTTTTCACAATTTGTGAGTTGGGTAAAAGTCAGCGACACGTTACAGGACTTTTCCACAAATGTTCATGCTTAATTACTTTACATGATCTGTTTCAGGGTCACAAATGACCTTTAAGGATTATTCCTGACTTTTAGGATTATTCTCAGTTATTCATGACTTTTCATGCAGTGACCCTGATTTGTGACGCTTATTCACCAGGATTATTACTTTTCAGAATTATTTATCATTCTCCTAGATTACTCTCAAATTTCTCCCAAATATGTATGGTTTCTATTGACTTTTTAGAGTTATTCTCTTCCTAACAGTAGTCCTGACTGGATCTGGATTATTCCCAACCTTTTTAGGATTGTGGTCAACTTTTCATGTAGGTCCTGACTTTAAATTTTTTGTTCTTGATTTTTTAGGAGTATTGTCAACTATTCACGTAGGTCCTGACTTTTTAGGGTTATTGCAATTATCATTATTCCAGATTTTGTAGGATTATTACCAACTTTCCAACATGCTTTCACTTAACTTTACTAGTAACTTTCAAATTTATCACCACATTTTCAGAGCACTACCTTGTTATTATTATTATTAGGTTTATATTGTTTATAAGGTTTTCCCTGATTTTTTTAGGATCTTGCCAATCTTTATAAAGGTGTTACAGATTTTCAGGGTTAACAGTAAGACTTGACTCACAGGTAAGGAGGAAGAGAAAAGGGAACAAATGGTCTTAAAGGTAACTTGCGTCTCACTCTTGAGGACACACACCACACTATACCTACCCACGTCGTGTATGAAGCGTTCGATCTTGGACTGCATGCCCCAGTATCTGAACTCCACTTTGCAGAGCTTGTAGGCACACATCACAGGGCTTTCACCGTGATTCTGGTTGATCTCTTCGATCCAGTCGTCTGACAGCGGACCACGTTTGGTTTTTACTGACTGATACAGCTTGGGGTCTTCTTCCACCAGGTACTCGTGAGGAGGGATGTAGTCCTTTACGATGTCTATGGGGTCTGCAAGGGGCACACAATTATAATGAATCATGCAAATGCAAAAAGCAGATCTGAGCAGCAGGACAGATGTCACGACATACTGACTGAACACCTGCCTCAAGAGGTGTGTGTGACTTTTATGTAATCACTCCCTGCAGGAAACGTGTCTGGCTGCACTTTTCTCCTGCACCCCAGTGAATTTTAGTATTCAGAGGCTCAACACAAGCTCTTACACTCCACGGTCTGTCTCCCCCTGCATCCCACTGTCTGCGTTTTCACTGCAAATAACATAGTGTAAATTTGATTCCTGATTCCTGCTTATGAGGAGATTAAGTGTAGTAGAGGGTATGTTCTTGTGTGCATGATGATACACTTACCTACAGTCATCTGTCTCTTTTCGCCAGAGGACATATTGAAGACATCCACTTGATTTCCAGTATCTGGTTTATAATATGTCTCGATGTCTATAGAGAATTTCTCCACAAAGGGACAGGTGTACCTGAGAGACAAAATACAAACGGTTGTTTAGAAGAATTCACTTACCTCCATCACTTTGGCAGTTTATAGCAAAACTTGTAAATACTTAAAGCAACACACCGATGTCTACAATTGTCTGTTCTAGCCATGAAAGAATTAATTGTCTCCAGTGACAATGCCTCAGCCGCTCCTTGAATCAAGATTACATTTCTTTTTTTATTTAAAAATGTATATTTCACAAACGGGTGTGTGCCTTTCACTTGGCAGAGAGTCAGCGGGAAGCTATGGATTGTGACAAACAGCAGCAGATGAAAGATGACGGGGGAGCAATCGTGCTGCGCTGCTAGCAGGTAGGAATTCACCCTTACACGAGCACTGCATCACATTTCACATACTGTCCATATTTAGGCAAAAGTGAGTATTGGATTAGACTTTTTGACATTTTCTTTGTAAATCGTAAACACACAGAACAGTGCACAGCAAATAAACGTCCCCCGTATCATTATCATCATAGTTATGATCATACTAGATGGGGAGTATAAAAGAATTAGATGTACTAATGACCTTATGTGGGTTTTCAATGGCCGATGTCTATATTTAGAGAGCAAGGAGTAATCTAATATACATGTTATCTCAGCCAGTAACATGTTGTTTTAGATGGAATTTATATTAATGAATGAAACAGAAACATCCTTTGGGTTCTGCTGTAGATTTCAGAATCTGACCAGAGTTTAAGGGAGAGCGGGGTTCAGTTTGTCAGAGGTGACGTCTTTCAGCTGCGTTATTCTCTACAGTATAATTTTATATATTTAACACTAGCCAGTAATGCTGTTAGATTAGATTTGCTGTCATTTAGGATGATATATCGGCCTTGTGAGCACAGTTATCAGTCAACTAATTATGTGTGTAGATTAGCTTCAACTTGGTTGTCATTGCACAAGTACTAACAAAAATTTAATGTAACTCAGCATCAAACCAGAAGTGCAACAAGCAGTAAAATGCAGATGTAATGTACATATATACTGTTAGTGAATAGAATAAACAGTAAAGGGTGCATATGAATACTCTCTAGAAAATGTAAATGTATAGCAGTTCTAAAGCTCAGTGACATACAAGTTTAAATTAATATTTCACCAGAGTATTCGATTATGAAAACAACTGTTAGTTGCTGCCCTGCTGATATCCTTCGCTTCCGTTCTCATTTCTGATTCTATGAAACTGGAGGTACACACTTAAAAACAGCTCAAACCTACTGGATAAAAAAACCTATTTTTTTTTAATTGAAAAAATCTGATATTAACAGGATAAAATATGGGGTCCGTTTCTTATACATTTCCTGATTGAGACTTTTGTGTTTGGGAGGGGTATCAATATTCGGTTGGTTGTGACGTAGGTGATATGCTGCGCTACCGACTAGCTTTGTCTATCATGGACACGATTTTAAACTAGTAGCAGACTGTAGGTTTTTTGTTTCTTTGTGTTTTTTGTCTCATTTCTTCCTGTATTATTCCATTTTATGCTTCACTAGCAAGGACCACACCATCCAACAGATACGGTACGTTTAAATGATTACTTGATGAACAAAAGAGAAAGATGTGCAAGGCTTGCACTTGCTGGATATAGCTGTATTTCAAAGGTGTTGTGAGGAACAAAGTAAGATTCACCGAAGCAGCCGGGCCCGGACCCCCTCATAATCCTATACGGAGAGGAAGAAGGAGGTGAGGAATCAAGATACAAAAAAGGGGGTAAAGAATGTGAGAGAAAAAAGGAGGAGATGGGTTAGGAGGGTATTTATGGAAATGCTGGGAGTGGCGTGACTGAGGTGTGGTCCTGCTCCTGAAACACTGATCAGATGTGATTGACAGTAACCAACAACTTATCAAGTGTCATCCAATTTATGATTCAGATGTTGCTAAATCCTGATTGGTGGAGAGAAGGACGTGATTTAGATCTGAGCCTCGCCCACCTCAAACCAGTCAGACACAGAAACCTCTTATGTGAAATAAGAATCACTGAAAGGAGTTAATGTACAACAAAAAAGTGTCTAAGAAAATTTAATTTTATTAATGAGTATTCTTTGCTAAAACCTAATGGAGAGGCTAGAAAGCTTTGTTGGCGTCCTGCAAATCTAATTTATGAGACTGAGATCAACTCTAATAACATACAGCCGAGTTCATAAAATCCTGCTGGTCTGAAAATGTAGCTGCACTGGTCAGTTGGGAAAACTTTAGTTATCTGGAGGATATAAAAAGTTGGCAACAGTATGTCTGATTATTCAGCTAAAATTGTTCCAAATAAAAAAAAAACAGCTCCATCAGCAATATCCAGTGAGTTTTATTTAACTTGTGAAATGTATGAGTGTAGAAGCTATATAATAAAAGCCATTAACAATGTTTTATTACTAAAAGGTCAGTCTTTGTACTTTAGATAATGCCAGCTGCCTGAAATCACTTAATGTAATGTATGCTTAATTGTTAATGTGGAGCAAATGTTTGAGCACAGGGAGGATTTTAGTGTCTGAGCAATTCTTTGCAAAACTTCCAAACGGCCGTTCATCATTTCTAATATCTGTGTTATGAGTCACTGTCCTCCTCTTTCTTGTGTGGTTGTCTCACCGGGTCCGCGTGTAGGGGTAGGCGTTCCAGGACTCCTCCTCCACTCGAAGGGCAGCCTGAGGCAGAATGGCACAGAACCACGACGGGATGTGTTTGCCGATGTGATAGACCTTGTGCGTGTACTGACCCGAGCCTCCGGGGCCGTCCTCGTAAGGCTTGTTCTCCAGGATCTCCACCCCGCTGCCCTCGCCACAGCTCTCCTCTCGGCTCTTTTTCTGCAGAATCATGACAGGACGGAGGGGGGAGGGAGATGTAGGATCAGCTTCGGTTTATCAAAAATAAAAAAGCATGTTATATTATTTCACGGGCGTAGGTTTAGTGTCAGCAGGAAGGGGGGACGCGACAAAATGGTGGAAAACATAAGCACAAATTTGAGTTACTTTACTTGAGTTTTTCCATTTTATGTTTTTACATGTACTTGACTACATCTTAGAGGCAAATATTATACTTTTTTCTCCACTACATTTTGTCTGACAGCTTTAGTTTCTTTTCAGATTCCAATTTCTCATGCTTGCATGCTGCGGTCGGCCAGCGTTAGATTGTCAAACGAACAAAACCAAAACATAAAAAGTTTTTCTCTTGTAACGTTAAAAGTGAAACATACTATTTGAAAATAGAAACAAAGTTTAATGTAAGAATAAAATAAATCTGATCAACCAGAAGTATCTCTACACTCTGAGACGAGAATCTTTATTTCTAAATATTTCGCATGGATCGTCAGCTGGAGAGGATGACTGACTTTTTGCCTGGACCTGTTAGCTCGAGCCTCAGTCTGTTGGCATAATATAGAATAGAATAGCCTTTATTGTCATTGTAATGTTAAAAAACATACAACGAAATTGAAAATGTCGCTATTTGACCATGATGCTTGTTTAGCATGCAAATTAGCACTAAACACAAAGCACAGCATATCATGTGAGCATCCATATTTAAGACCCTTTGATGGAATAATTTTAAAACTGGAGCTAAAGTTAGCTTATAGCTTAACTAGCTACAGCTGAAAAAAAACCCGAAAGTCGTCATCCGTCTGAAATCAAGGACTCAGTTTTTTCCCTTGGTCAGTATGTTAAAATCAACAACCTACACCCTAAAGCCTAATGATGTTATACTCCTTAAAACCTACACCCTCAATATTGACGTTTTCTTTACTTCAGCCATTGATATCTCCACAGTGGCTGAACGGATTTTTAATCTTGAAACTGCATTTGAAACGTTCATCTCCCTTCGTTCTTTTGCATTTTGCACTTGATAATGTTTTACAATGTTATTTTATGTCAAGAGACATACATGCTAAGACCCCCTTTTTTAGCTAGCTAGCTACAGTTGATAAAACCTCCCAGTGACAGTTGTCATCTGTCTGAAATCAAGACTCATTGTTATATAATAAAAAATATTATTAATAAAAAATTGCAATGGTGAACTGGCCATGGTAAACTGCATATGTGAGACCTTTCAAAGGGTTTTATGTTCCCAGCAATGTTTTTTCCTCCGTCAAACATTCAATGTATGTTTCCCTTGGTCAGTATGTTGAAATCACCAGCCTACACCCTAAAGCCTACTGATGTTATACTCCTTGAAACCTACGCCCTCAAACAAACTTTTTCTTGACTTCAGCCATTGATATCTACATTTTAAATGTCTATCTCTCTTCGTTGTTTTGCTATTTGAACTGCAAAGCAATTACCAATCTCTTACAATGTTAGTTTATCAAGGGATCATAAGGATTGGGCCTCTTATTTTGCTAGCTAGCTACAGCTAATAAAACCTGACAGTCATCATCTGCCTGAAATCAATGACCCATTGTTTCATTGTTTAAATTGGCTACCATCAGCACAGTAAACTTCATATGTGCTGTGCAAAAGACGGGAAAAACGTGACAATGACACGTTTAGCAACAGGCGGCCTAACTGGAGATGAATGTATCAACATTTTTATAATCTGTTTATAGAGATATTATGGTGAGTAAATCAAGCTGAAACTGTAAAAGTGAGGGAGACAAAAATACATCCCCAGTTTTTTTTGCTTATTGTGGGATTGAGAAGTAAACAGCCAATGCAAGCAATGAGTCCAACATCTTACAGACTTGGTCACTTAACACACCATCCTTTAACTTCCCATTAAACCCCCTTACGCCGCACTCCTGTCTCTCATTCAGGCGTTGTCCAACCTGACAGAGCTGGATGGATGATGCTGCAGAGGCAAAGTGATGAGCTGCCACATGGAAAAGAAAGAAACAGCTTTTCTTTCAGTTATTTTAGTCACATCCCACCTCTTATTTCTACTTAACATCTGCTCTTATTTTTTGTTAGCCCTGTTTACCGAAGAGGTGGGACAGACTTTAAAGATTCTCTTTAGAGAGGAAGTAACCAGTGATTTCCCTTTCTTCCCAGCGATGTAACTTCCTCTAATAAAAGGCAGCAGATGGTTCAACCCCACAGATCCTGTAAGACTGAGCTGCGTATTAAGCCTGTTGATTCACAGAGGGAGCCGTGGATTACAGCATCGGTTTATAAACACACTTAAGAGGCTCTCCATTTAGACTGTAACCAGCTGGGTTGCTGTAACACATACAAATTAACATAGCAAGTTCATATGGCTGGTAATATATATCAAACCCCTCGAGGATCTGATTTAGGGGCCCAATAGTCTAACTTGTATGACTGTTTATATATTATATTATTTTGGCCATGCCTTCTCTGTGTTTTGATTTTGGTTCCTCTGTTTCTGGGTTTTGGTTCTTGATTCTGAGGTTTCATCTGGTCTTGCCCTAGTTCCTGACTTATTCTGTAATTGTCTGGTGTTCTGTCTAATCCTAGTTTCAGTCCTGCCTTGCCCTGTTATGTTCTAGTTCTGTGTTCTTTTTTAGGTTTTGTCTGTTATGATCCCTGTGTTATAGTTGGTCGGTGTTTGTCTGTTTACATGGGTTTCTGTTATTGTCTGGGGTTAGATTCTTGTCTGGTATTTTGTAATATGTGTTCTGTCTGTTTCCCCAATAATCTGCCTGCCTCGTTAGCCTTGATCCCTGTCACCTGTGTTGCTCCTGCCCTGCTCGTTAGTCCCTGGTGTTTAGATGTTTGGTTTTTCTGTTCAGTTCCCGTCCGGTCATTGTCGTATGAAGAGTGTTCTGCCTGCTTTGGAGATATGTGTACAGTTGTTTTGGATCTTGTCAGCCACCACTATCTGTAAGATTTGTTTTTCCATGTTTTGGATTAAATTCCCTGGAACTGCATCTCTGTTCTCTGTGTCTTGCATTTGGGCTCTCACCTGCTTTGCGCCCTCAAACGTGACACAATCAAATTACTACAAATTAATTGCTAGAGATTCACCGATCCAACAGATAGAGATTTTGATACCTCACCTCAGGGGATCTCCCGAGGTGCTGATCCGATATATATAGTACCCTCTTTTTACCCAAATATAAAATCTACATACCTCACAGCGGCGAACTCATGGCTATGTAAGGTAATATGTGCTAAAAACTGAGTCAGCGACCCTCCAATTCTTAGCAGAAACACTTTAATAACAATTTCCTAATGTGGATCAGTCATGCCCGGCCAATACCCAAGCTATTCAAGGTCAGTATTGTCCCAAATACAGTCAGTGTATCCCTATTTATTACCTTATAGAAATACACACATGGATAATGAAGCATGTGCCAATAATCAGTGTCAGCCCAACACCACATTTCATGATGAACGCTTTGATGCAAACTGGTGCTCAAAATTAAATTCCCTAATGCACTGTAGTTTTAATCAATCAATATAGGCTACTAAATTTTAATCTTACCGCTGAGTTAGTGTGAACACTGTCAGGCGACGCTGTATTCTGGTTTCTAACTGATGATGATTGAAAAGCTGTTTTATTCCTCCCAGTGTAAATCTGCTGCGGGTTGAGGAACAGCACTGTGTGAATACAAATCATAGTGATCATTATTAACAGCAAGAGTGGGGCGCTCGGGGTCAAGAATGAGAGCTCAGATTGAACACGGAGCTCGCTCTCCTGAAGACTTTAGGGAGGTGATATCAGTAATGAAGGTCAGAAGAGGCAAACAGCTGGAAAATTGCTGTAATCTAGCAGGTAATGTAATTTAGGTGAGGAGCTAAGGGCTTTAAATTACCCTCCTCGTGTCTGCGTCCTCTCTGCTGCAGGATCTGTATTAATAACACACATCTTGGAGCAAAGAGCTTTCCACTGTGCAGCTTTCCCCCAGGGACTGTGAGGAGGTTTATGGATCTTAATGAAAACAACCCAGGTGATGCAACGTGATGTCGAGTCTGAAAGCTGAATACTTTCTCTTGCAGCATAGTCCAAAAACAACGCTGAAGATCTAAAGATGAAGTGCAGTCAGCACCTCATGGTAATATAACCTTCAACTCTCTTTCTGCTGCTTTACTCTAAAACAACTGCCGACGTGCAAGAACAGTGGAAGCTTTTCCAAACCGAGGATGCTGCGTCTGCTGCTGTTGAGGTGTGTGTGTGTGTGTGTTCAGGTGTTTGGCTGTCATCAAAATCAGACAAACACACACACACACACAACAGGGATGAAAGAAGCCAACAAGACTACAGCGGCTCTGTGAGGCTGTGCTGAGACACAGCTTTGAGCCAAATGCTAACGTCAGCATGCAAACATGCTCATGTGTTAGCATTCTTACTTTCGGCTGATAGTTTTGAAGGTATTTGATCATAAAGTAAGGTACCAAAGGACATGGATGAGTTGCGCATATGTTTACTTATAATCTTGCCAAGCTGATGGGCCATGCTGTATTTTTACTATGTTGGTCTATTCTGTACATCTACTGCATCTGTCCTGAGAGAGGGATTCTTCCTCTGTTGCTCTTCCTGAGGTTTTTTTCCCATTGTTTCCCCTTTTAAAAGTTTTTTTTGGGGGGAGGTTTTTCTTAACTAAATCGAGGGTCAAAGGATAGAGGCAAATGTCAGATTTGCGATATTGGGCTATTTATTTCACGGTTCTGGTGTGGTGGCTGTGTGTTTTTAGTGTTTCTTGATTTAGTTTGTAGTTGCCTGCCTCCAGTGTCATTATCTTGTTTTACTTGCTGTGTACCTGTCTCATTCCCCTGATTGTCTTCACCTGTGCCTTGTTATCCTCACCCCTCCTGTGCATATATAGTGGTTGTCTTCCAGTTGTTAGTTTGCTGGTTCATCATTCTTGTTCTCCATTGTAGATCATTGTTACTTTATCTATGGATTATGCCTC